TCTCAACGTATGATTAAAACTCTAAAAACTAAAGTAAATTTAGGTACCTAGATACCTTAACATTTATAACTTCAGTAACTATCTACATTAATTTATTCCGTAAACTAAATATAACTAGGTAGGTAATGTTTCTTTTTTAGGTAATATTATATAATAAGAAATAAGTTACTTACATAATTAATAGCTGTTTTGATAGTTGTCATTTCATAGTAAGAGAATAAAGTATAAATAAATTATGGGTACTTACAGTTAAGTATGTTGGTGCTATATAATGTTCATGGAATTGGTCGTCCATATAGAGGTAATTCCATGTTTAGCAGTTGAATTCAAAAATTAAACTACCTAGATAAAAACTAAATAAGACACCAGCCAAAAATATGACCCGGAGAATACTCAAGACAAATACAAAATAGCAAATACCTAGATAAATAAATAATATTATTATAGAATTTTCTACTCAGACACTCAGTAATTAAAAACTTACTACATATTAATGATGGACACTATCGAACTATTCCACAATTTTTTCAAATATTCGATTGTTCCGAAATATTCAATTATTCGATAGTTTCAGACTTCAGAATTATTTAGTAAAATTTTAAATTAACTTTAATACTAATCAATATAAACAATTATTAGGTGAGTATATGACTCAATGCTTAATCTAAAGATGTTTCAACGTTTCGACTTTAGAGTTCAACTGCTGTTAAAGGACGATTTATTCGAATAGTTTTTATTCACTAGTTTATGCTTACTATTGACAAGTATATCGATAGTACTAAATATTCCATAGAGCCCATCATACTAAAAATCGTTGATTGAAAAAGGTTTTTCTATAGACATATTAAGATTTTAATATGTCTATGGATTTTCCTGACTATTTTGAAAAAAAAATTTGGTATCTGTAGCGACTTATCAATAATTAAAACATAGGTAAACATATATACTAGTATTTATAATCTATGGTATAACTCAGTGCCGTGCCTTGCATAATCAGCACCCGGTGCCAAAAATTATTTCTAGCACCCTCACCCCCTCTACCAAAAATTTTTATACTTTAAAAAGTCTACATATCATTATTTGAGAGTTTGAGACAGATTCATCAGATTTACCTTATTTTCACGTTAAACATTTTTGTCAACATGTACAATGTACAAGCACTTCTAAAGATGATAATATGTAAACAGGGAGAGAGCCTTTAACATAAATATAAGTTGAATTTTCAGTAATATTACTTAGATTATAAAAATGCATTTGGCGCCTCGTTGGTCCATGACGCCTGGTGAACACACACCTCTCGCTCCCCTCTAGGAATGGTCTGGTATAACTAATAAAAACTTACAATTTTACACCTTATTGTATTTTATATTTTAACATGTATGTTTAACCCTTTAACAATAATTAACGTCCTAATAATGAGATAGTAACAATTATTTAGAAACTTATCTCCTAAGACATAAAAAAAAAAAAAGAAATTATTATTAATATTATCTCAATAATTTAATAATTTTAAAACGTCTAATGCGCATTATGTATATCTATATAAGTATGCTCGTAAAAAAAAAACATCCAGAATTAGACAAGATCAAAATAGTCCTACCATTTCAAACTCCAGGTTAGGATTATTATATATACCTATTTAAATTTATATTATATTTATATAATTATATATTATGTTATATATAATTATAATTATATTATATATTAATTATAAATCATTATTCATAAGTATCGATTAAAAGTTATGTATAGATTATGATTTTGTTGAAACTTCATGGATTTATATCTTCAATATTCAATTACCTAAATTATAAAATTATAAATAGGTACCTTTATAAGATTTTTCATTGAGAATTTATATTTCTGTTAATTTTTACTGTGCAGTAATTGTAATTTTTCTCTTCAACCTAACAATAGATCAATTTCCTTTAAATAATTTTAGTTTTAATTACATTTCGTTATATAATATTAACCATAACAAGAATATTACAATCATTATTGTAGTAAATATAGTAATAACAAGCATTAAATAAAATGGTTTTTTATCAGCTTAATAGTTAACTGATATACCTAATTGGTATTGTTATATACTGATTAATTAATTTAGGTGATTATTTTAATTTAAGCATAAACTGTCATTGTTAATTTTTAATAAATGTATTTATAAAAAAAACTGGTAAAGAATGTTACAGAGCCAATATTCCATGTACCGTTGTATATGTTTGTATATTACTAGTTATAGTTATATGTTTTATTTGGTTACATATGATAAATAATAATAAATTAAGTATACCATACATAAAGATTGAATTAAAAATTGTCAGTATTTGTAAAATAAATCAAATTATTGAACTGCTTAAAACAGTATCTACATTTGTTTAAACAATTTCCAAACCCTAATAAAATGACATTAAAATTATTAAGTTTAATATTACAGGACTATACATTTCAATATTATAATATAATTAATTTGTACATTATATTTATGTAGGAACTTATTTTTCAAAATAAATATAAATAAATACTTTGTGGACAAAATGTATTATACGTTTGTATTTTGAAAAACATTTTATCTGACTTTTCTTCATATCAGAAACTATTGAAAAAATTTGAAGGTTTTCTAATGTACTTTTCAAGGTATTATTTAAAAATTGTAATTTTTAGTACATATTTACTCTATAGATATGCCATATTCACATAGTTATATGTAGCCGATGCATTTTTTTTATTATTTACCAACTCTTGCAACCAAACAAAAATATATTTATTTTGTAAAAAGAGTCCTCAATTCTTACAGCAAAATTGTTAGGAAACTCTTTTAATCTTATTCTATAAATATAATATTGTTGGTTTATATTATATCTATTAATTATTAGGTATTTCATTTGTGTTCAACATTAAAGAATTACTTCATTAGGTTACAGAAGAATTAATATATCAGGTAGCTATTGGTTAGTTAATAAATTAAATAACCTTTACTACAATAGTGCACTTAGTGCACCTGTATAAATAATAGCTCGGTATAAAATAAAAGAATATTTAATTTATACTAATTTATAATTAAACATTTAAGTTACAGTATGCATTTCTTTAATAAATAATTTGATTTTTAATTTGAACACTGATATTTTTATAACAATTTGTACATAAGAAATTAAAATTTCAATATACTTATCCCAGATACAAATTTAACTATAAATATTTAATGCGACCTACTTATGTTAAACTCTATTAAAGCATAACAATTTAAAAAATAATATATAGGAAGATATTTCCATTGAAATACTACAACAGACCACACTGTATAAATATTGTATAAGAACCAAAGTAACCCAGCATTAGTTGCGTTATGCTCAAATGACCGCACATTTTTTAGGTCTTTAATAAAACATTTACATTTTATATTTCAATCATTGGTATTCATATAAAATGAATCAATAATATTAATTTAATAAAAATGTTCAAAAGTATCTTGAATATATTTAAAAGTTCAGTCATTTTGATTATAGTGCAACTATGGTTTAATACTTATGAAAGAAACATTTACTGTGAAATTTTTTAGCTTGTTATTTCAAAGCATACAAAACTATCAAGGTAAACTGTTATTTTAATATATAAAATTAATGTTAACATTTTAATATAATATAATATAATATATATATACTTATATATTAAATATATAGAAGTATAAACTACCAAATAATTTTAATGTACATCCATAAGTTGATGTAAGAAGTGATAGGAATACTAAAACATAGTGTAAATTAAGTAGTTGAATCATTGTTGAATATTTATTTTTTAACTTACAAAAATACTTTAAATGTTAATTCACTGATTATTTACTATAAAATACTCCAACAGAACAGTGCATTTTTTAACTAGTTAACTAGGCGACACAAATGTCGCCCAATGATTATACTCTGTCGACAATATTTTGAAAGATTCGGCGAAATAATGCGAAACAAACGTGTAATACTTTAACCGTACTATGGTATTATATTGACTATTTTGAGAAAAACATTTTTTGTCGTCCAGTGAAAATTCCTTACAAAATACACAACATAACATGCAGAATATCAAATAAGCTGTTCAATTGACTATACCTTATATTATTTAATAGTAAGTTACATTTAATGGGGTTTTTTTTTATGAATATGTAGGTAGTTACATTGAAATTAGTGAAAAGTTATAACAATATAATACAAATATCTGAAATAAATATGTATTAATTAAATTTTTTTTATTTAATTTAATTTTACATTTATCAGTAGTTTGCCACAGTATTAACATTTGAATGTATATAAAAAATGTTCAACATTTTATAAAATTTAATAAAATATAATTTAAACCAATTTAACCTAACCATTTAATATAATTTATTATGCCATAAATTTTTAATGTTATTCAACAATTATCAAATGAAACATTCTGTTTGATAATTGAGTAAAATAAAGTGTTGAGTACAAATAAATAATAAAAACATTTAAAAAATATTTACATACTTGATATCTTAATAAACTTCTTGCATTGTATAAATAAAACAAAAATTATGAACATTTTATTTTATTACAAATAAAATTCTGTTTTGTTTACTATGTAAATATAAATCATGATGCTATTATTATTTTTTATTTCAAAACTGTTATAATTAAGGAAAATTGTTTTTACTTTTTTGAAAAGTTGTATAAATATGAAGTTTATATTTGGTAAAAAAACCTTTTTGGAACATAAATTGTTAATAGCTAATAAATATAAATAAAATAATAATAATATAAATTAAATTAAAATTAAATTTTTTTTTAAATATATTATTTAACAATTTTGTAATGATAATTATAATTTATAATTACCAATTTAAATAATAAATAAAAAAAAATAAAAATATATTTCGTAATTTAATATTGGTTTGGTACATATAATTTTTTTTTCTATATACAATATTTATATTTACAAATAATTTACAATTTTATTATTAGTAAATATTATAAAATTATCATTTGAAAATTGTGATATCTTATAGATATTTATGCTTTTTGTATAGTATTTAAGTTAGGCGATTTATTTCCCTTAGTATAACTATACAAAAATATTGAAAGCATTACTAAAAATGTACCAACCACAAACTGAATACTTATTGTAAAGTCAAAGAAATACATTGAGAAAACACATGCCACAACAATTGCTAATGAAGTGGCAAACCCTTTTAATATATTGTCAGCATATTTTACAACCATTGCTACAATAAGTCCTCCAGCCGCTTGTAAACATATCAAATATACTATGTAAAGATCATATCCATAGAAGAACCCTTTATTGGAAATATTGGTCCAGTCTTTAAGGCTCACAATGAAACCTAATGGTATAGAAACAAAACTCAATTGAATATTTCTCATCCATATTGATATTTCAGCTCCTTTTAATATTTTTTCAAAATAAACTCCAGCAAATCCAGACAAAAAACATGCAACAAGCGCAGACAGTAATCCAATCCACCGATTTTGTTCTGGATGTGTTTTTTGAGTTTTATCAGTTGAATTATTAAGCTGAACAAGAACGACACCCGTTATCAATACTGCTAGTGCAATCCATTGATGTCTCAAAAGTTTACGTTTTAGTATAAGCACTGAGAATAAAGCTGTAGTAAATATTTTAAGTTGATAAGTGACTTGATATGTAGCTGCATCCAAGTTTGAAGTCGAGACATATAACAAATTGTTTTGTATTACATACACTAAAGACGGTATACAAACTTTCAATGTATCCATAGGTTGTTTAATGATTGTTTTGTCTAGTATAGATATAAAATGTTTCCACGATATGGATTCAGTCCGGTAGACCAACACTAAGCATACAATGAGTTTAACTGGCTCAGCCATGAAGACAGCAGTAGACGCAATAAACATGTCACCGGCTCGTGTTCTTGCATAACGCATGCTAAGAGCAACAATAGCATTCTGAAGTGTCAGAGTCACCAAAGCTATCAGCTTGAGAGAATTACGCTTCTGTTGGATTGACTGCATGTTTTCTACTTGTACTTCCAACTGTATTTCTGTTTTTTCTTCAGTCATTAAAAACCAACAGCTTTATTTTTTTTGAAGATAAATAACAAAAGGGTGCTGTTAACTTGATAATTTGAATGTATGGCCTTACATGTAACAAAAATCGAATATCTAGATATATTTTACAAAAAAAAAAAAAAGGAAATGTAAAAAATCATAACGAAAACGGTTATGAAAATATTCAAAGCTATCATACTAACCGGTGTAATTAAACTGATTAAAATGCTTCGAACTAGGTATTTTTTTAACATTCCTGTTACTGTAATACTGGAGAATAATATTAATTTTGTTAAAATATACACGTAAACACAAAATCGAGTCCACTCCGAATGGCTAAGCCGGAGCCGTGTAAACAGTAAACTGCTATATTATGCATTTATATGTACACTTAACGCAACGTGGACCTGGATTAAACAGCTGACTTTTATCTACCGAAACGTGTTATCAGTACAGATTTCAATATTTTATAACATTCGTCGCCGCGGATTCATTCTAAAAATTCACGAGCTCCTCTTGCTTACCTTATTATTTAATCTGCAATTACTACAACTCTTAACACTGTGAATCGAAAGTTCGCCGCCATGAACACCCGAGTATTAGTACGATTCTATCAGGTAAATCTCAATAGTTATAATGGGTGATGTCGAGTTCCTATAAAATAATAATAGCAATATTATAAATATGTCGTTTTGTCTTTTTCAGACCGTTAAACCTCACCAACCATCAATCCGGTTTCGGTATGGAATCCCAGAAATCAGTATGTACAAAATAGTATTACAAAATCTCTGTTAACTTATTTGAATACATTTTAAGTTTTATATATCTTATGTATATATTTATTCAACAAAAGTAAAATACTACTTTATTTTTTTTTTCAATTTTTGGCTTAAATATAGTATAGGTTCCACCCAAATTTTACCAATACTTTTATTTTTACTCTGAAAACTATGTATATATTTCTATGTTCTTTAAACTATGTCGAAAAACAATATTTTTTGAGTTAAGACTGTTTGAAATTTGAGTATGTTTTGCTTATCAGAGGTATACGTTAATTGGTCACTAACATACTTGCTAATTTATTTTTACTGTGAAGTACTCTCGACGTGATCTTTCGTAATAAATCAAACCAAATACTAATTATGAAATAAGAAAATACAATTTTTACAATATGTTGCAAATTAAATGTTTTTTCTGACCTCTAGATATCTATTAAATTTAATTTAATTTAATTTGATTGAAAATTAAAAGTCAATTTTTTCTTAATCTTGTGCACCTCTATCACAAATGCTATATAAATTCTGAATGAGTAAAATCTGATGGTTAATAACATTAGCAATAACTAGAACAGCAGTTTCCAACCCATAGGCTATGAACAGGCGGTACTAGGTCGTAAACCATTTTATATTAACATTAGTTACATATATTTTTAAAATATTAAATATCAGTAAGTGAAAAAGATTCATTGATTGAACTTTAATGTGATCAGACTCAAATCATTTTTTAAAACTACACCATTATTAACATTCTAGTTAAATATTGGGCAAGACTTTCCAGCAATTTCTAAAATTTCACTTAGAAACTTAATGGGCTGTATTTCGACAACCTGTGTGTCTATGTGAACGAGCTTTTTCTTTTTTAATTTCTTTAAAAAAAAAAAATGGAGAAATAAATTTAATTTTGAGTGATTTAAGGCTAAAACTTTTCATTTTTAATCCAGATATTGATTCTCTTGCGGGGGGGGGCAATCCAAAATTACATTAAATTGTTTAACTATTGAATAATCTGGTTCAATGAATTTTTTTTTTTTTTTTGATAAACAATTGTTTTTTAATAAATAAATTGTAATAATTGACATTTGTGCACATTATACATATATAAATATTGGTGGGCCTCAAAGATTTTCTACGAGATTGGTGGTCCGCAATACTAAAAAGGTTGGGAATCGCTGAACTAGTATATTCATTATTATTGCATTAAAGGTAGACTAGGCAATGAACATGCATCAGTCTAATTATTATTTTCCCACACTAAGATATATTTTTCCAATCCGACCTTTATAGTATATATATACTATATATTATATTATATTATATTATTAATAAGTATTTAATATTGCAATTTTATGACAACAAAAATTAACAGATATCCCTAGATATATTAATATATATTGTCAGTGGTATAAAACTAAATAAAATTAAAATACTAGTATAATTTTTTTAATTTACTCATTTACTTCCATTATTAATTTATAATATTTCCTAAAAAAAGGGTAGAATTAATTATTTATAGAACTTCGATTATCCGAACTAATTAATGTTAAAGGTAGTCCGGATGATTGACATATCACTTATCATAATTATACTATTGTATGAATTTATTTATTATTTGTAATATTATTTGACATTTTTATCAATAAACTAATAATTTTATTATTAAATTTAACTGAAAAAGATTTAAACTATAATTACAATAGCATATCTTAAAACAAAAAAAAAAAAAAAATAGCTGACTTGGCACATTCTTTATTTTATATTGAAAAATTATGATATTTTAGTTTGCTTCATAGTTGATTTTCTCTTTAGAGCAGCTAAATCTCTTAATCTCCTTAAGTACAACAATCAAGTAGTGTTCGATTCTTCTTGCCTCTTATACTTTCAAACACCGAATCTAATGCATCAAAAGCTTCAGAATGAGACGCCCATTTTCATCTTCAGTCAAATTGTCAGTTTCATTTTCTTCTTCTTCAGTATCATCTTCTTTAAATAAGCTATTAACTATTTCATCATCTGAAAGTTATATCCAGGACCATTTATATCCATATGCAACCACTCATTTATATTCTCTTTATCACAATCCCCAAAAACATGAACTTAGTTTACACACTCCTGTATTTCATCTATGTCAACATTTAATTCGACGTTTTGGGTATCCTCAGCTTACTTCAGTAACTTATTCCATGACCTTTCCAAAGTGCAATTTTGTATTCAATTCCATACTTCGACTTGCATGAAGCAGCAGTACAATTTATGAGTTATTAAATGACCAAACTTTTTTTTTTCTTGTCAGGTTAATTTGACGTCCAGTTGATTGACATTTAGACAATCTAAGTTCTATTGTGTTCCATATATGTATTTATATTAATTTTAAGTGTATGTGAAAATATTTGAGTATTCTATTATTCTAAATAAATTATTAAACCTTATGTTTTGCTTATATCTGTCCATATAATGTTGGTTGACTGTACCAAATTAGAAAATTTAAATTAGACAGTTAAAAAATTGACTAAAAAATTGTTATGTACCAATAAATTATAAAATCTCAAACAAAATATTACATATTTTTGATCTCAATAAAATAATAAATAAATTAAACATCTAATATATTATCCAATGTATATATAGTTTATTAAATTAAATTACATATTTTTGTTTGATTGGTTCTATAAATTATTACTAATTTCAAAATATGACTGTTAAAATTTAGCAAAAATTATAAATACTTTCATAATTAATAAGGATAAGATTTATATTAAAATTTTTTTTTGAAAATTGATTAAATAATTAAATTTAAAACAAAATTTTTTTAAGTTTTAAAACAATATTGTGCAAATTCTGTAGTTTTTAATTTAAGCAACAGAGAATTAAGAAAACATTTAATTTAGTATACATAATACATTTTCATTGTCTTGGTAGATTTTTAAGAATTTTATTGTTGGTAATTGTTGTTTATAAAATTAACTTCTGAAAATATTAGTATCAATTTCAACATTATTAGTATTTATACTTTTTGATCAGTACATATGTTTGGTGATATATTTGCTAATGAAGTGGCAAACCCTTTTAATATATTGTCAGCATATTTTACAACCATTGCTACAATAAGTCCTCCAGCCGCTTGTAAACATATCAAATATACTATGTAAAGATCATATCCATAGAAGAACCCTTTATTGGAAATATTGGTCCAGTCTTTAAGGCTCACAATGACACCTAATGGTATAGAAACAAAACTCAATTGAATATTTCTCATCCATATTGATATTTCAGCTCCTTTTAATATTTTTTCAAAATAAACTCCAGCAAATCCAGACAAAAAACATACAACAAGCGCAGACAGTAGTCCAATCCACCGGTTTTGTTCTGGATGTGTTTTTTGAGTTTTATCAGTTGAATTATCAAGCTGAACAAGAACAATACCAGCTATCAATACTGCTAGTGCAATCCATTGATGTCTCAAAAGTTTACGTTTTAGTATAAGCACTGAGAATAAAGCTGTAGTAAATATTTTAAGCTGCAAAGTGATCTGACAGGTAGCTGCATCTAAGTTTGAAGTCGCGACGTACAGCAAATTGTTTTGTATTACATACACCAAAGACGGTATACAATCTTTCAATGTATCCATAGGTTGTTTAATGATTGTTTTGTTTAGTATGGATATGAGATGTTTCCATGATATGGATTCAGTCTGGTAGACCAACATCAAGCTTACAACGAGTTTAACTGTCTCAGCCAAGAAGACAGTTGTAGACGTGATGAACATGTCGCCGGGCCGTGAAGTTGCGTAAAACATACTGAGAGAAAGAATAGCAGTTTGGATCGTCAACGCCACCAATATTATCAGTTTCAAGGAGTTACGTTTGTTTTGGATCGTCTGTAGATTTTCCATTTGTGCTTTCGACTGTATTTCATGTTTTTCCTCTGTCATTAGTACCTAAACAACCCTTTGTGGCTGTGACAATAATTCCACTTAAGCACTTAACACGTATTCGAACGTATCACCTTTACCCGTTACGGTGATCGAGTATGTTATAACGAAAAATTAAATAAATTTTAAAACAAGAAGTTATAGAAGTCTGATCTTGTTAATCACTCTTAGCGATTGATTTAAATAAACCCGATGTATGCAGTTCACACGTCACATGCGAACGACGACTGATCATGGCACCGGATAACTATAAAAAGATTCTCATGTTCTATACGGCCACACTCAACACGAAATCAAAGTTTTCCCCATCGACTAGTTGGTAGTAGTATAATATAATATAGATTAGTGGTCTAGAGTCCGGAGTCCATGGTATTTAAAAATATTGTCAACGCAATTTAGACCCACCCAACTGTTTGATTCATCTACCGATGCGTATTATCAGTATCAATTTAAACGTTAAAGATTCAGTGGAATTGATTGTTTTTTTTTGTCCGTCTATATGATTTCAATCACTTTAATTGTTTCCATCATCAAATTATTTTTTTATTTGATGCTTAATGTTGTCTAATTGTATATATAATGTTAGTTTTTGAATGAAAACAGTTTTTGAGATAATTGAAAAAACAGACAAAAAATTACAAAATAACGAGAATTTACAGGAAACCAATTTTCAACAAAATCCTATTTAATTTTTCTTTTTCACTCAAAATTTGTGAACTTAAAATTTTAACTCAAAGCTTATATAAGTGTTCATTTTAAACAGTATAATTTTCAAAATATCTTAAGTTTTGTACTATTTATAGATGTATGAAATGTTATTTTTCTTTGTTAATGTAATTAATTTTGGTTCGACCAAAAAACTTGAAATTGGTATATAAAGTCCTTCACATATTGTTCTTGTTTATAAATATTAATAGTTATTTTCATTTAAATTTTAAGTTTTCAAGTTTCACAGAACTCAACGAAAAATTTCCAATTTTAATACTTAAGGCGGTTAGAAGCAGCGTATTTATTTCACGTAGACCTAAAAGCCTGACAAGATTGTGCATACTTAATTAAATCATAATTAAATTCTGTAAAAAGATTTGAGTGGATCAACCTTTTTTCTAGGTTAATGTGGAAATCAATTTTTGAAATTTGTTTAAAAATTGTCTTTAAATTTTATTTGAGTTTTTCAATTGTTTTTTAATTTTTATATTTACTTAAGTGTCTTTTTTAAGAATGTTAAACAGTGATTCTAAAATCGACTTCCACAATGACCTAGAAAAAAGGTTGGTCAACTCAAATCTTTTTACAGAATTGAAATCCGATCATTTGGAATTGACGTTTTTTGTCAGGCTTGATTAATTTTCAGACTTCGTTGGAACAAAATATTTTATTTCATCAAATGTAACCTAACTTGTGCATGCGCGTGCGAACCATTAATTGTTTCCCCGAAACGTTAAATGCCGGCGCGCAACTCCAGCCGCCTGCGAACCGATGATATTATATAGATCCTATATAGTCTTATTGGGAATTCAAATAAATTGTATTACCTATATTTTTAATTTGGTATATTTATTGTAATGAGTTTTTACATATACTGTACGATTATGCCGCAGTTACCTATGGATTGAGTCGACACTTAGTACCTCTTATAGGAGCCACATTTAACGTTTAGTTTCAGATGTTTCAGGGCATTGTTACTCGATTTTATATGGATTTATTACGTCCAGAAATAATCGATTCTAGGTTTGATCGAGGATTACCAATAAGGTCAAGCATTCCTAAAAATAAAGTTTACAATAGCTGTAGATATGATAATTATTATTATAGTTATTGTGATAACTTATATAAATATAATTACCATAAAACATACAAATTTATTTGTTATGATTATAACACCTTTAGCTTTTTATTTTATTTCTAATACATCTTGAATTAATTAATAATTAGATGTTATGAATATTTATTCTAAAACTTTTTTTTATAAAATTTGGCATCTATGATTCTCGCACTTGAATTGCAAATGCGTTATACTTATTAATTATTATGTATTGATAAATAATAATAATAATAATAATAATACTGAATAATATTACATGTCTTGCGGCGTATGAACGACGACGATAATGACTAATGACAGTCCGTTTACTGATAAGGTTGGAGCGTATTATTTCGGGGAAGTCACACACACACACACACTAATAATCGTTTACTAACGCACACACTCACAAGACATAACATACGCGTATAAGGTATTGTCTATACTCAACTCCTTAAAAAAAGGTCCGCTTCCAATCCCTTTAAGGCTTGAATACAAAAATTCCACATACCTGTAAATATTTCGTCGTAATCAGGCACGTCGTCTTGGGGGGGGGGCTAAGGGGCCTAGCTCCCTAAGAAAAATCAGTGGCCCCGAACTGACCTCCTTGATTTTGATTTTTAAATATTATAGTGTTAAGTTGTCCCAAACCGGCTAAATTCTGAATGTATATTCCATATGGGTGATTGTAAACTCCGCTAAAATATCGGTTAAGATAAAAAGATAATAAAAGGTCTAGTGTAAACTCCGCAGGTTTTTTTATGGGTATATGTAAACTACTCCAGTTTTTTTTTGTTTACCTGCTCAGTGCTCACATTGCTACATGCCTTCTCTCATTAAATACGTTGACATTTATTGCGTTGATGTATGTCGAAATTGATAAAATTATTATCATGGTTCCATTCATTTCAAGGTAAATATATATCCACATTGATTCGTTTATTAATAATTTTATCTTCATATTATTTGAAATTAGTATTTCCATTGATGATGTCGGCAGTAGGTAAGGTATACGTAAAGTATACTTTGACGAACATAATCATTCTTAGCTGCGTGTCTTCGTGTATATTTTTTATTGAACAAAATATGTTGCAACAAAGTAATAATATAAAATTAATTACTGCTCAACGAGACAATTTATTGGTTTTATTTAACATCTAACTACAAATATAACCAAAATATAAAATATGCCAGACGGTGAAATAAAATGGAGGTACAATATTGTATAATATAATAAAAATATTCACTTATTATTACTTATTACGTATTACTTTTAATAATATATCATATTAATTTTATACTACTACTTGATTTTCTTCACTGGCAGTGTTTACATATATTAAATTTTACATGATTTTTTTTAGTGGCGGAGTTTACATGAACCCAATTTTACCTGTTTTATTTTTCTAGTTAACAGTAGTAGGAGTTAACAGTAAAAAATGGTACTTGTGACGGAGTTTACATGCGCCCATTCCATATAATTAACTATCGTTTAACAAAAATTAAATTCTGAGATTCTATTATATAAATATTCGTCATTTGATAATTTGAGATAAGACAATAGTACGTGTATTAATAGATTGAAAACTAGGAATTCCAAATACGGATATCGAACGCACATTTGATAAATACCACTACAAAAAGGGGCCAAAAAATGTTGGCCCCCTTATAGAAATATGTCTGGTTACGTGCCTGGTCGTAATCACAAAATAATATTACTATAATTTAAAAATTAAATATCAAAAAATTGGTAGGTCAATGAATTTTGATTTAACAATTTATATTGTTATTATTCTAAGTATATTAATCGTGACAAAAGTAAAGCATGATTACAATATTTTTCATTATATGTAAGCAGATTTTTTTTTTTTGATTTTTGGTGATGTTTTTAAATTGTAATTTATAGGTGCCTGTTAACTATATAATTTTCAATAAGGTATAATATGTGATTTTTCGAATATTTTTTAATGTATACACTCAATTTTGATTTCACAATTTTAAATAGTTAATTTTGAAAATTACCGGTTTCAAGGAATGTTGAGAACTAAAATATTTGAAAACTTCCATTAGTACATTAATGTGGTATTTTAAAATATTTCATTTTTTCGGATGTAGATGTTATTATATGTATCATTTGTTTTGATTATCTTTCACTATGTTCACAACAACAATAATCTGAATAAATACTTAGAAGAATGCAGCGAGTCCAAAACGCTATTAGTATATTTATTGTACTATGGATGTATCCAAAATGTAATGTCCGAACTAAAATCAGAAGAGATAATAGGAAAAGTGATACATTCTATAAATACTTTGAGTAATGTCTTAATTATTTAAAAAAAAAGTCAAACCAACTTCTTATAACCAATCCATATAAATTTATTATTATAACCGATTATAAAACTAATCCGTCATATATCATCTATCATGTCATCAAGCCCGGATTAAGGGATGGGAGGGTCAGAGGAGACCATGACCCCGAGCCCACAACGGATATCAAACAATAGTAGGCCCCTGTTGGATAGTAGGGTTTTCCTTTTTTTAACTCTTTTCTTTACCTCGTATAAAAAACAAATATAAAATAGTATATAGTTTTATGGTTTTGTATTCAGAGAGTAATGTTTTAGAGATAATTAATACCAATGATATAATTAAAGGGTTTGCTTCCCAAAAAGAAAGAAAAAATTATTTATATAAATAACATTTTTATTTTTTGTATTAAAGAAAGCAAGAAATAAATTTATAAATTAGAACATCATTTTTTTTTTCTCAGAAATATATTTATGTAACACGGTTAGGCACGTATGAGCGCGGCGCGCAACCTAACGCCACGGCGCTCACTTTTCGAATTTTTACTACCTACTAAAAGTGTTTATTCGAACTGTAAGTGAGAATTCCATAATGCGGATCCTCTACATTCTAAATTATTATAATCATTATGAATGCTGCATTATTTAACTACAACATGATTGTATTATGTTATAAAATATAAAATTTTACTAGGAACCAATCAAGCGATTATAAACAAGTGGTTATGTAGTCAATATATTGACTTAAAATGTGACTGATGTGCATGGTGTCAAAAAAAAAGTTAACCTGCCATCAAATTAATTTACAAAATATTTCCTTGGGTTAAAATTTTTTACAAAAATTCTCATTCGCTATGATAGTGCTAGTTCAGTCTTTAATTCTAGGTAATTATAGTCTTCTAAGTATTAATTGGATACTTATTGATAATACACGTACGTTTTAGTTTTGTTTTATTAGTTCTTGCGAACCGAGTTTATTCGAGTTTATCTCTGACTAATTTGATGTTATTCAATTTAATAGCTCTTTTAGATCTCGTTTTTTCTAATATTCATAACTTTATCGTATTTTCTGCAGTTATTCGTTTACCAATAGACTATAATTATTATCCAGCTTTAAATATAGTTTTGTCTGACGCCAGTCATGTTAATAGGTTATGTCGTATACGCCGAATTAAATCGTACGCATAGACACAAAAAATATAATTATTTTAAACGTAACAATTAAAATAACGCTTATGTTTCTGTAGTAGTCGTGTCACACAACTACAATGGAAAAACCACTTTATTAGTTCGTCATCTATCTTATTTACATTCAGATAGCTATAATAATAATAATATAATAATTTGCTTACATGCTAATAGAAGAAATTAAAAAAATGTTTATGCTAGCTTATTTTTTAATGTGACATTAATATGACCTGAATTTTAATTGCCTAATACTATATATTATACTACACTTATATTTAAAAAAAAAAAAAAAAACAAAAATGTATTGTCTCAGTTACTGTGATTATATCTGTATCAGATCACTTATTGTTACAGTGGACTGAAATTATGTAAAAAACAATATTTATATGTAAATAAAGCAGTTGATATAGTTGATTTCATTGTTTATAAAATTATTGGTTCTACCACTGATTATAGAATAAACAGATAGCCCTTATTTAAAGGGTTTTCGGTTACTAAAATTATGATTATATAGACCAGTGGCTCTCAACCGATGTACCGCGACACATTACTGTACCGCGAGATCAACGAGGTGCAGTGGCGTAGCCAGGATTTTTAAATGGGGGGGGGGGCTAACCAATTTTTTTGGATAAGTAAGGTAAGAGAGGATATGAGAATTCACCCTTAACCCCCCACCATCTACCACCAAGTTTCTAAACGTAATTCAAGCATTTTAGTATAATTTTAAAAATATTTATTAATATATAATTTATAATAATAATAATAATTTTGGTTTCAGTGTTCAGTCACTTGCTCCACTCTGACAGCTGCATTCTCTTAGGCGAATTTCTGGCAAATTCAGTTATTATTTCACTTTCATCAAATTGCTCTTTTTTATTTATATTAGCCATAGCTAACCCATTCAGTCTGTTTTCCGACATGATGCTTCTTAAAAAAATTTTTAAGCGATTAAGTGTTAAAAATAGTACCTAAAATTATTAGAATTAACTATTTTATTAAGAATTATGTAGAAAATACCTAATCAAATTATTGTTTAACTGAAAATGTATCTTCATATCTCAAAAAACAATATTCACACAAGTACATTTGAATATTTTCAGATTTAATGTTATATCTTAAATAAATCTAGTTTACGCATAATATATCTTATCTATAATATTGATATAATGACCTACCTATTAAGATAAATTTTACATAAAAAAAAAAAATTATTTGATTTAAATATATTTATAAATTTAATTTTAATTGAGTTAGAACAGTAGGGTCGGCAACTAATGTCTCTTATGCGACCCACAGTAAATTTCAAAACTAGCAAATGTCATTGAATATCATATAAATGTTTTATATTGTCTGGTCCATAAAGGTTGGAAACTAGTAACAGACTTGTTATTGATTGAACGTCAAAACTATTAAAATGTTTTTAAATAAAAGTAATAAATCTTATAAAAATTATTATTATCGAAAAAAAATTTTGTTATCCCATATCTTGCGCGACAATGTCTACCCATACCATGTTCTTAGAAAATTAATCTTCTAAGACCGTGACCCATACCAACATTTTATTTCGATAAAATGTTATTTGAACAAACGCGAACCGTACTTCGTATGATTAACATATTGTACACATCTTTTATATTCAAATTTCCTACAATTTTTCTATTTATAAATATTCTGATGAAATCATTGTTATCAATCGGTCTATTGCGACATTAAATATGTTTAATTTTCCAACTCCGAGTTATCTAATCCTGTGTCACCGCATTCACTAGTAATGCCATGTTACAAGGCGATATTTTTTATTTTATTTTAAGAATAGAAGGTAGACGCATTAAATTAAAAACAAAAAATCTAAGTAATTTTATTTAACCGAAATTACAGCAGCCCACCGGGGCATACCCCGGTGCCCCGGTGGCCTAGTCCGACCCTGAAAGCATTTGCAACAGTATCAAGGTTTGTACAAAAACAAGGTTAAGCTCAGACTATAATTCGCCTTGAGGCGAAGCCCCATCCCCCCGAAAAGTGCCACGCAGTGGCATTCAAGTTGGTGAGTGGATCCGGAAGGAGCGAAGTCCTAAAATTTTTAAAATAAAAGTTCCGATTTTTCGAAAAAAAAAATAAAAAAAATTAAAACAATTTTCTTTATGATTATAAATCAAAACCAAATACCCTCTGCTTCGGGTTAATAGTTATTAGACTATGAGTTTAATTTTATTTAGATTAGATAAGATAAGATACAGTTTTTTGAGCAATAGAACATTAGTCGAGTAGTAGTGAATTAATGGAAAAAATCCTATTTTATTTTAATATGTTAATTATATTTAGGTTACTAATTTATTTTCTTTGAAAATTTTAAAATATTTCTTCCTGTAAATTATTTTAAGAATGCAAAACTCATCCAAAATTATCGTACTTTACTCAGTAAATGATGTGATCTAAATAAGCTATACTATCAGTAAATGCGAACAATAGAAAAAAAGTTGGGAATGCAACAACTTCCTTGGTTTACTTATAACTTATACATGTATGACTTTGTAAGTAATCGTTTTATTATAATTTTTATTGGGTACCTTTGAAATAAACAGTAAATAAAAGAATAATAAATTTGATTTGATTCCCTCTGGCAATGCTTCAAAATTGTCTGGCCTAAATTCAATAGTATTAGTAATATTGTCCTAGTTAAAGTATGGATACATATGTATGTATTATTATCAATGGACTACTTGATTTATATATATCTTTGTATCTTTGTTAATAATGTGTTACCGTGTAGAAGTAATAACTGCATCATTTTAAAGTGGTTAAATGAGGATTGCATTATTAATTTGTTTAAATACTTATTAGATTTTTGTAATAAATTATATTTTTACAAAAACATATAATAAATAGGTTTTTATATAATATTACATTTTTTAGATTTTATATGGAGCAAAGAAATGTATTGATTTTACTATTATATATATATTTTATTCATTTTTAAATTTTTATTTAGGTAATTTAACCGTTAACTCCTTTCATTAGTAATCTGCTTACTCCTATGCAGTGGTGGCGTGATGGCAGATTTTTGAGTCCCTGAACTTAAGTCTGTGGGTGGGTATTGACCATTGGGTATCGAGGGGGTATGTAGTATGTAGAACGAATAGTGGGGGAGCTCTTTTTACAAGCTACCCTTAAATTTCTTTTTAGGTGGGTGAGTGGGTGTGCAAAATCCTTACAGGACTCATGAAGTAAAATATTTCGCGCCGCCACTGCTCCTATGTGCTATGCTTATATAAGTATATTAATAAAAACTATATTTTGACTTAGAAAAATGATCAGGACCTCCTTTGCCCTGAATCGTTTTTTTGAAATCAATTGATGGTACATTGATATTCATTGTAAATACTAAATATTTAAAAGAATAATTGTATCTCATACCTTTGGCGTATTTGGGACAAATTTTCAAGGAGAGCTAAATCTGTACATTTTATTTGATCATATTAATGTCACTATCCTACTCAAAAAACAGAATTAACTATAAAGTATAACAAAAATAAACTATTAGAACAGAATACTGATTATTGATTATAGATAATACATTTTTCTTTGTTGTTTATAACACAGAATGTGGTATTGATGTTAAAAACGTCTCTCTTATAATTACAAAATTTGGTACTGTATTTTATGGAAATGCATGACATGCAAGTACCTAGTCATAATAATAATAATTAACTTATAATCACAGCTTCCGTAAAACAATAAACATGATAAAAAGCCTTGGGGAGGCAAATGGCTCTAATATACCACTAATACCTATATACCTCAAATATACCACTAATATCATCTGACTTATCTTTTTTTCTGTATTTTATGAACTTTTAGCATCTGAGTCTATTTTTTTATTAAGGATAAATTACATATTAGGTACCACATTTTCAAGCCACAAATATTAAATTTAAATATTTAATATTGATTATTAATTGAATAAAAGTAATTATTTAATTTAACAATATATTTTATTAGTTATAAAAATATAATTTTATAAGGTATATTTTATTTCATTTTATGAAAAAAAAACTATCTATTTACGGTTATTTAATTGTGGAAAAACGTAAATTCATAACATTGAATATTATTATATTTTCTTACATTCTAAATAAATTTACATAACTTAAAAATACTTAGATGTATTTGTTCAAGATGTAAACAAAAATATTTACTTAGCAATATTTTGTGTTACAGATAAACCTGAATCAACTTCTTCAACTTCTGCCACTGGATTAGTGCAAACACTTGAACACACTCAACTTCCTTTAAAATTTAAAAGACCTACATTGGATGATGCTGAAATAAATGCTATCAATGTATTTAAATCAAAATTAATTATTTGGATTTTAAGTTATTCTTTAAAATATTTTTTTTTTTTTCAGAGTGGAGGAGCCGAATGAAGATTCTAATATTTTGATTCATACTCATTTTAAATATTGGATACTTAGTTAAAAATAAAAATTGAACTAAAAATATACTTACACAGTATTAAGATACATACTTATATATTTATTATAATGTTTAAATATTTATTATTTAATTAATAAAACTATTTGATTTACATTTTTGTGTAGAATAAAATATTTTTAAAAAATATTAGCAGAAAATAAGGTCAGAACTCTATAAATCCAATAAACCTCTGTTGAAAATCTTGGTTTATATTAGAAACATTTGTTAGTTGCTTTTGTGCACTAGTTAGTAAACAGTTTATAGCTTGTTTAAAATTGCATTAACATATTCTATAATATATAAAATATAAAATATAAAATAAAAAATAATATATAATATAATATAAAATATTATTTTATTACTTTATAAATATATTTTTATGAACAATTTTCATGAACTAAGAAATTTATATATAATTTCAAATGGGTATTAGATAATACTATATAAGTATTTAATTTTTATGTTTAATATCTATATGTGCACAATAATTTGACTAATATGATAATGTCAAATCGTCCAATAAATGTATATATGTATTATGTATTGGTTATTTAATTTCACATTCTTAAAATATATAAATATAAAATAATTTAACTCTAACAATAAAATAAATATTAACGGATACAATACCGTTGAATGTGTTCTTAAATTTATTGATTCCATTTCTTTTACTGTATTATTTACATTACCTAGTTAATTGTGATTTTTACATAGAAAATTATTATTGATTATATAATATAATAATCAATGATTGAGGCATACAAATTATTTATGTATGATTTACAATTATTGTAATTGTCAGTATTATAGTATATATTAATTTTTGAGATAACTGTATTATAATATGAAGATGAAGGTTATATTTATTAATTATACAAATAAAATCTGATAATTTGTATATTTCAATAGTAAATTAAGATGGCTAGTACTTCTTAAAAAATTAATATTTAAACCAACATTTTAGTTATTTTTATAAAATTAGCCAATAAATAATTAAATGAAAAATGTACAGAATTTCAATATTTTTTCTATTAATACATTTAATTTTATACATTTAAATAATAAATATATTTTAAATTTAATAATTTTTTTTCTGATAATAATTTTTATAAAATATAGTTTCATAATAGACTTTTATACTTAAAATGTACTTATTAAAACTAATGAAAATTCGTTTTTCAAAGGAGTTTAAGATTTCTACTGAGTTGATAAGTGGCCCCATCGTAAAGTCTCCTATAGTAGTTTCTTAAAGATACATTGTATTTAATTTCATCTCCCACGATATCTGTTGTGTTGACTTCATTGCATATGTTTCTCCTATTTTATCATAATTATTTGAAAAATTATCAAACAATATTCTACAACCATAAATAATTAAATGTATTTCTTTCCAAAAATGTATTTATTAATAGATTGTACAACAAAAAAATTCTGAATGCAATCTTGATTAGAATAGTTCAGAAAAATGGTTATTAATAAAATGGTTAAAATTAATAGTTCAGACAACACAACCAACTAGTTAAAAACTACTTTCAATGTAATAGGTCATATTGTTATTGGTTACCCTGTTCCTTGATTATATAAATTTACCAATAAAAAAATTTTGAAATGACAATAAGTCTGATTAGAAAAGTTTATTTTACAATATATGTTAATAATGAATATTGAGCAATGCAAAACTAATTCCTGAAACTTTATACCAGTATAAAGTACTTTATACCTACCAGCTTGGGCTTGATGCATAATTAGACTTGTTGCATCTGCATTGATGTACATCGAAGTGTAATTGAGCTTTAATCTTAGGATTAAGTTTTTTCGACTCTTCTCCAGAGTCATGCCTTGACATTCTAATGTTTTTTTCTTCGTGAATGGAATCTTGATCACTATGAAATATTTGTATTAAAATTCAAAATATAAAGAGTGCTCTACGAGGATTTACTATTTTCCCAAGTTTTAAAATCAGTAAATCCTCGGTGGCACTTAGGATATTCAATATGCCCTGATAAGTGCAGATTTTTTTTTTTTTTGGATGAAACAATTTTTTCAAATCAACAAAATCAAACAAATTTTTCAATCAACAAAATTTTACGTATAAATCAATTTTAAAATCAAATTTCCATTATTAATTTTACTTTATCCCAAAATAAAATCCAAAAAGAAGGCAATTCTCATCTGGTCCACTCCTAAAATCTACTACTATTCAAGGCATCTAGTTGACACCAAAATAATGAACTAGGTATATGAAATAGGTACCTACCTTGTTTTTATTGATTCATTTATACTGCTGCCTTTTATACAAACAATTTTTTAAATATCTAAAAATAATGAAATTGTAATGATACATTAAAATTGTACATACTATTATTTAACTTTGTTTGACAGCAATTGTTGTTGTGTACTTTAACTGTCGCTTTTATATTTTTACCAAATTTGTTTGATGTTATTTCAGTATTTTGGTGCTTATTATCATCTAAGGATTTACGTTTAATTTCTAATGACGTTTTAATATTTTTTTGATGACTAAAAAAAATTTGAAAGTACATAGAAGGTGATTATTAACATTATTAATTTTGTTTGTGCAATTTTTATTATTTATATATATGTTATGTTTACCTCGTTTCATTTCTATGCTTAGTTGTTTTCAATTTATTAATGTTTTCACCTTTTAATAAAATATTTACAGAGTAAAATATACATTTATATATTTATAAACCTATATTAAAACTTACAATGTGTACAACTTTTTTTCAAATGGCACTCGCAATCCTTTATATTAGTAGTCTATATTTGTAATAAATAATAATCATTATTAATTTTATACACATTGCAAGAGTTGTAGTTTTATCTTTATAATGCTTAAGTATACACATATTATTTGTGGCATATTTTGTACTCTATACGAATTACCTTTGTATAGTAAAAATTATAATTTCCGTTGTTTAAAATATTTCTACATGTATGTGCAAAAAAACGTTCGTACGTTGTATAAAATATACCATCTAAACTCTAAAGTGTACCTACTTAGATGGAAGTACCTAAAATAAATTTTCTGAATATTCTTTGTTTAGTCTGGGAAGAAGGTCACTTGATTCCCCGAATTAAGGATATAATATAAATGTTTATCCATACAATGTGTCTGTTTTTATACAATACACATTTGTGAATTTATATCACCTTTGATTGAACAATTTAAAGAGACATCTTATTATTGTAAGTTATGTCTTGTTACATGGGTTTTGTAATTATAGAATAAACATAATATACCTAGGAATTATATAAGTGCAGTCTTGGACGTTTCAGCACCGCCATTTAAGCGTTGATTCGATATAATGCAGATATTTCTGGTGCCGCAGCTTTAAAAAAAAATTGTGCTTTTTACAAATTATATACACAGGACACCCTGTAATATATATACCTATATATAGTTTGTATAAAATTTAAACAATTATACATTTATATTTATGTTTAACAAAATGTTGTGATTCCTATTTGAATATTTAAACGCATTGTTATAAATTCCAAATATCTGAAGAAAATTGGGATAATCTACGACCGGTGTTTCTTCAATTTTTCTTACCAACATAGTATTCCTCAAATTAATCAAGTAATGGTAATATTTCATCGGGTAATTCATCAGCAAATAAATCTGTTGCTATTCATAGGAGAATACAAGGGGGATTTGAGGGAAAGTACCACCCTCGTTGGAAAAAAATAATATTTAGAAGAATTAAATGATCAATAAGAAAAATAAACGCTGACAGTTTTAGTAAAATATTGTAACATTATTTTTGAAGATAAAGATCATCCTTACATATGCCTATAAACAGCTATAACATATAATTTCTTTTATACAGTAGCCCGACGGTGAATAGAAGCTGAATCCACCTTTGTGGCTATGTCAAGATCTTCAAATGGTACTAATGCAAGTGATATCATCATTTTTATTATATTTTAATATATTATATATATATATATACAGTGGTTGAATTGGGGGGGGGGACGCAGAGGGTCTGGGCTACTCTTCATTTTTCTTCATATTATAGCGTACCCCTTAATTTAATTCATCAAGGAACGCAGGGGACGCAGCGTCCTTCAACAATTATATGAATATGAATTTGTTTCTAAGAAAAATTAAATAAATATGAAAAAAAATTGGAAACGATTAATATTTTATTTAATTTTTGGTATTAGTTCGTAATCTGTTCATTATTATTAGCACATATGTATATTAGGAACGCAATAATAAAATATATAATAATGTTATATAATTTATGTAACACGTTTCAAGTGTTTCCACTGCGTATTAATTCGTGGTACAAACTGCTAAAAATATAACTATTACGAAAACTTCCCTGGGTGTACCGACGATAACGATCTTTAGTAAACCATTGACAATAATAATATATTGACTCCGTATTTTGAGAATCCGTCCGTTGTTTTAGTTATCGACGATTAACAAATGGTGATCGTTTTCAAGGAAAATTAAATATTATTTATATTTTATTTGGAAACGAGGTGCGCCACGAATGAGTAATCAGTATTATGTTAGCTTGTCGCGTACTCGCGTATGTAATTTATAAATTGTAATTTTGTTGAAAATAGTAAACACCTCAACCGCACTCCTACAGTCCTACATGACACGTCAGCAATAAACAAATAAACATGAATAAACGTCAAAAATTGTCCATATCGGACTTTTTCAATAAAAAGAAAAACAATAACCAAGGTAATTAAAACACTTTAATTTAATAATAAATCATAGGCGTGCGCAGATTCCTGTTACCGGTGTACTTTTATTTTTTTTTGATAATCCACCCTCATAAATCCCACCTTAAAAAAAAAAAATAGATATACAAAACATAAGTAAGTAGAAATAAAATTTATTAGAAAAACTGATGTACAATCTGATTATCAATGAACGTCAGTCCCGGCAATTTTTATTTTTTTGTAATTTGATAAAATTTATAAAAAAAACTTGATTTTCCAAAAAAAGTTATTAGCCCTTTTTACTTAAGTACCTAGTACCTACCTAAAAAAAAAGTTAATAAATACAGTTAAAAGTTCCTTAAATTTTTTTGGTTATACATTTTAAAGCAATACATATACATAACTATGATAAAAATAATTATTATTTAACTCTCAGCAAATCTTAGTCCTAAAAATAATGTGACGGGATGAAATAAATTATTTGATTAATATTAAACTTCAAATATTAAAATTAATATTGACAAAAAAAAATTAATATACTAATTACAGAGTAACATTTATAATCTATAAATTTAATATTTACTTTTTGTAGGCAACAGTAAAATACATGAATTATTTTAAATTGAAAGTTTATTGATTAATTAATTTTATCATGTGGCTATATATTTACATTTTAGATTTTAAATTTGCTAGACGTGTTGCTGTGTTGATAGAATTAATACAAATAAATACCTATTAGTATTGTTTATTATTTGTTATAGATATCTGTGTTAATCATTAGATATATTTAATTATTTATATTGTAGATGCATTTAGGTGGTGGGGGGGACAAAGTCCCCCACGGTTTTTTTTAGATTAATTTGCTTTGGAACGCTAATTGTTCAGCTACATTTAGAGATCACCTTTATTTTTTTTCCAATTCAACCACTGTATATATATATATATATTTGTCAAATGCACAATTTATTAAAACTGCTATGCCAAAACGTCCATGTCCGATTTAAGTAAGTGTAAGGTAATATGGTATGAAATTTCACCTTAATAGCATTTTGGCAGTACATTTGACTTTCCGATTCAGAATCTGTGATAGTGCTTCCATCGTCATTATAAACCCTGCACATAGGATCGATGGTAAATAATATTAATGCATTGATTTTATGTACATTTAATAACCTATGTTCTCCTTTATGAAAACACTGCCAGTTGTTTGATTTTGTGTGATGAACTTTTTTCATTCTGTTTGGTCGACAAGGCAATTCCGAAATTTGCGACGAGTGCTGATCATCGTACAAAATCGTATTTATTTGTTCTGTAACGCTGGTCTTGGTCACCAGAGTAATTTTCGGTGAAATGGTTCCCTATGATTATATTCATTGTTATAATAATGTATTAGTTGACTACCATGCGTGTTTTTATTGTTCGTTATACTAATAGAAACATGAAACAATGGTTCCAACTTAAAATTATATTGTACAAATTATAGCGTCAAATTAAAATAATCAAGAGGATGTGATATTTATCAGTTGGTACTTTTTAAGAATAAAAATACGTTTTAAATGGGACATAACTATTCAGTATAAATTCATATAGTAAAGGCTCATATATATTTTTTTAAAATCTGTGATGTAGCGTTTTTATTTTTTCTCTCATAAAAGTAGTTTTTAAATTATGTATACATCAACGTTTCTAAAAGTTAAAATGTTTTGTTTGGCTATAAAAAAATTAATAAAAAAAACAAAAGCGCTATAGGTACAACAGATAATTTTTTTAAATATATTAAAAAGGAACCTCTTTTATCAATTCACATTCAATGGTTTTGTCCTACGCCATATTGTTTGTCTGCCAAAAAATTTTAAATAAATGATTATTTTATTAATGGACCTACAAATATTATCACAATTATGCATCACACACTCGCATGTAAACGCTTCCTACTGTAGTCCCTATAGTCAACCTAAGAAACATTAAACCTTACATTAAGCCCCCATTAACTGGGGCACACTTTTGAGTATTATATTCTCTTTATGTAAAACTATAAGATTTAAAACATTATATAACAAAAAATACAAATATTATTGATATATTGCCCGCAAAAAATTGTATTCATAATTTATAATTCAATGAAATAATTTAGTTTTTTATTATGTATTATTTTTTAAAATATTCACGCTCAAATCTGAACGAATCAAACAATCTATAATAGTTAGTTTTATGATAAAGTATTCTATTAGAATCTATTTTTTTATTGAATAGAATGTTTCCTGCAGTACAATTTGTATTTGTTTATTGGAAAACTATCACGAATGGTACTTAGAAGAAAGCGCGTAGAAAACACTTTTCAAGAAAATTATTTAGGAAATTGAAGAAAAACAATTACACTCGGAGCATTTAATTTCTTATAGTGGATACACAATGTTGTATCATTTTACACATTTAAATAACTGCACGTAAAACCAAAAATGTTGACCAAATGCTTATATTTTAATTCTATGGATAAGAAACAGATACCTAACCTTTTAAAATGTTTGTGATGTATAATTTAAAAATTTATACTTCATCAAACTTAGTTAATTTCTTGTACGAGTAAAGTTTAAATGATTACAAAACGTATTACAGGTATTGATTTTGCTAACTAATTCTGCGGTATTATTACTAAATCGTGTGAATATTGTGTTTCGATAAAACAGTATAGTATTATAATTTAAATTAACTATTGAAAATGTTATGTAGGTACTAACTGGAAACAAAGGTTCGTTTTTCATAAGCAACGCTGATTCTCCGTTTGAGCTCAACCGACTAGGTTCGGGGTACAATACTTTATCAACACTAGATTTGTACGTGGCTAAAGTGATTTGTTTCTTTTTGTGGAACTGCACTAATGCAATACGCATGTACTTTTCTTCCAAAGTTTTCTGAACATCTCTCAAGTCTACGAGATCTGTGAGATTCTGCAACAACGAACAACATTTTAATAAAACGTGTTATAAAAGCAGTCAGTATCGCGCTTCGTTCTATTTTACTTCGTGAAAGTTGAACGTTTCGTTGAAGACCATCGGAAATTTGGGCTCCGCATACGACGTGCAAACATTCTTGCCGAATAGCCAAATGTCGAGGTACACCATTCCTCTGGGACATATGCATACACCGGGACACGTAACCTGTAGTTAATAATTATAGATTTATGTATCACGTTGGGTTTATATTTCACCAATACTATTGTCGGTGATGATGATAATGATATATACTCACATCCAAAACATCTAAAACTACACAAATATTAAACGATTTACACGACATAGTTGACTACTGTTTGCGTACGGATATATAAACGAAATGAGTACGAGAATGTGCATTGGACGAAAATCAGTCCAACATTCCTACATAGCCACACGGTACAAGCTCGGGTCCTTGCGTGTTTAGAGCTTTTGCCGGTGTATCCAAGGTAACGTGCTTTTGTGTACTACAACACCTATAACTGCGAAGATGGTTCAATAATCCAACGTTATATTAAGATATGAATATCGTGTACGAAGTATCTGAATCACGTTTAAGAACATTTGTAAGGTATTATTTGTTGTCAATCGTATTGCCCATAATATGGATGTATGGAATTCAGTAACTATCTACACTTGCCATAGAAACGGCGACAAAGAAAAAAAAAGCCGATACTTAAAAGAAATTGATGCACATAAAATGTTCCATATTTAAATCATAGTATAGAATTTTATAATTTTAAACTATTTGCAGTGTTATTGTTTTTTCATCACGAATGATATTGATACAAGTAAACATATGATTTTAAATATGAATACTTGGGAGACATATAATCTATATTGGATCGTTTGCTATATTTTATAATTTGTTCATGAATTGAGTAATAGTCTTAACCTCGGCATGTCAATGATATTTTCCAATTGTTATTTTTTTTTTTGGATTTTGAGTATATACCTACATATTTAATTTCTTAAAAAGTTATCCAAGTTATCAAAATGGTCTAATATTAGTAATTATTAACTTATTTCTTAAACTGAACCACCTGCACCGTTAATCATACCAAATTGATGTGCTCTTAAAAAACACAACATTTCTTTATATTTATTAATCTTTATAGCTCATATAATATTAAATAAATTAAAAACTCAAGCAGAGTCAAGAATTTAACAAATTATGCTTCATATAAATAATTTATTCCAAACTATTTAATACTTTCGAGTTATTCAATTGATTCAAGAACATTTTTTTCTTTTATAAACTAATAATATGAAAAAATAATGAAACAACGTTTACATATAAAAGTAGGTATATACGTATATAAGCAACCGTAGAAATTCCTACGCGAAAACCATGACTATTAAGTATAAACCTAGTAGATAACGATAACATTCTGTTGGTGAAATCTATTTCAAAGGACAAACTGAAATGTTGATCAAGGACGAAATTGATCAACAAAATATTGCATTGTTGATGTATAATTCAACATCAACAACGTAATATTACAGCAGGTAGTACAACTGTAAGGTTAGCGTTATACGTTGTGATAAGTCTTATTATATCGAACTCAATTATTACATTGAGCTGATTTATCTTCTGATGTTGAATGTTTAGCATATAATAACGTTGCACTACGTGATCCATCAACGGGGGTGTATGTATGGTAATCACGCGAACTTGTGCACAACGACGACGACGACGATGGAGACAACAGCCTATGAAAATCATGTAGGTAAACCTTACGACGTATATAATACGTATACGCAATAACAATAATCGTAATAATAATAGAACATTTGGCGTAGCGTTGCAGCGATGGAGTTTTGTTTTATCGCGCGCGATCTCGACGGGCTCGGCGATCCGGCGGCGACAGGGAGCTGAAACGTTCGTGCATATTGTTGGCCAACGAAAGAAAACGAGAAAAATAAAAAAATAAAAGCCCGAATCTCCTCCTACACGTGCGCGCGTTCGATTTCGGACGTAGGGATTCGTTGGGATAAAAAAAAACGTCACGACGGCATTACGATGCATTAAACGTAATACTGCGTTCTTCCTCGGTCCGGTACAACGATATTCGTACCGGCAATACCGTATTCGTTGTACGGTGAGATGGTCCCGCGGGCGTGGGCCGACCGCGGGACCACACCGAGCAATAGCGTTGTTGTTACAATCGTGTTATTAGCAATAGCAATAATAATCATACAGACGTATTATGTACGTGTGCACACGCACGCGGACAAATTGTCATGGTGGCGCGTGTAATTTAGACGTGGCCCCGTCGCATCGTTGTCGGCCGAGTTGCACGCGATTTCCTTGCGCATTGTTATAATTCGCGCGCGCCACCGCACCGGGGGGCCACTCTCGTGCACCGCGGATCGGACCCGTTACGTTTTCGTTGTACACGTCCCGCACACGAGTCTCCGCCATGTTCGGCGTTTTCCTGCTGCTGTCTGTAGCCGCGAACATCCGCAGTTTTTGCAACGGTCAAACGGTCCCTGCGACTAGCACTGATGGCAGTGGTATCGCGATTCTGTTGACGTCTCAGGTCGGCGGGTACGTGGTGTTCGAGTGTCCGGTTGTCCCGCAGTCCCCGCAGGCAGACGCCGGCATTCGTCCTGTCGTCGTACGGTGGACCAAAGACGTGAGTGGTCCTTCTCTCTCTCTCTCTCTCTCTCTCTCGTTTCTTTGTTGCATCAAAGGTGTATTGCGGTATTCGTGAATCAATATAGTCTTGTGGCAGGTCAAATTTCAAAAAAAATTAAAAAATAGACTTCCTTCTCTCGCTCGATTCATCCGAGGATAGTAAACCGGTTACTAAGTAACTTTACTTTAGTAAATTTACTAAATCCAAAACGTGTTTTATTCGTTCCTATTTCCAAGGTCTATAGATACAATGCTGTAATCACAATTTACTATAAACCTTCGAAATTCTTCACACGAATAGAGTCTAGAGCTATATTTACTTCGAGTTCAAGTACATATAAGCAAAATTTCGACAGGTACAAATAAAATAAGCGCAAAAAAGATTATTAAAATTTTCTTTCCTTATGACTGCCGCCGAGTAGTAGAGGTTCTACTGGGTAATTTTAAATTGAGGTTCATTCTATCTCGAAAATATGCTGATTTTCCATGAATTAATGAACTTTTATGTATTTATAGTTCGTCCTCAAAAATTAAACAAAATACAATTTTAACGTCTTCTACGGGTTAGAATGTGTATTAAAACACACTAACGTAACTGTATACTCCATATATTATTATAGACGTTATAATATATTATATGTAGATTGTTTGATTTTACGTCAATATTAGAATAAAATAAATAAATAAAATAAATAATAAAAATCGGTTTAAATACATTAATGATAATATTATGGTATTTTGAGTCGTTCATTAAATATATTAAAAAAAAAAAAATCGTAAAAATTTGTTATTTACTTTTATTGACTTATATTTTTCAATAAAAATACATAAAACAAAAATTTTAAATAGTTCGGGAAATTGAATTGTTCTTTTTATTTCACACAATTTCAAACCAGTGATTAAAAAAAAATAATAATATTAGCTAAATTTCGTGGTGTTGAGGATTTTTCTTTTACGCGTTTTTCACTCAATGTTTTCTGTACTCATCTTATGAACTTATTTCATTTAATAGTTTTCAGCGCTTCAAAAAAAAAAAAATCCTAAAATAGTAAATACTAAGAATAAAAAGCGGGACATTTACATGTGGGACAGAACAAAACGCGTCTCTTTAAAAACTTGTCGGGATAATTGGACAATCATTTTGTTGATTACCCTATGCTAGCCTTACCGTAGAGTGGCAAGTCGTGAGTTTTCAAATCTTTGATCCCATATAGGCCATAGTGCCCTCGCGGATTTCACGTATATACTCAGTTGAACTCGAGCCAAACCGTTATGTTGTGCTTACTTCGCAGGGACAAACGGTGTTCACGAGTTCAAATGGTGCGTTGACCACCGACGAACGATATGATGGGCGGACCAGTATCGTAGAATCCTCCGAGTTCAGTGGCATCGTAGCGACCGCCGTCAACGTTTCTAGTCTTCGGGAATCGGACACGGGCGACTACGAGTGTCATGTGACGTATAGCGTCGGAATCATCCCACAACCGTCGACCCCATCTCTTTTGCCGTCCAAATCGTCACCTCGGTCGAGCACTGCACCCTCGACATTGACCGTCTACGGTCCAGGTACTCCTAGTGAAGGTGTGCGGTTTAGACTCAACGTACAAGGTGAGCCATGTCAACTAGCGTATTTATATATTTTATGTTCATACATATATGATCAGTAGCGGCTTGAAAGGGGTGTATTCAGGGCCAAATACAAGGGGAGGGAGGCTATGGAAACTGTAGCCTTAGGCACTTAAAATATTTCGTAGATAACGCGATTTACTTATAAAAATTTCACGTTGGATTCTTCTGTGTCTGTGACATCTATACATGCACGTATTTTTATTCATTTTCGTGCATCCAACGTATAACATCTCAAACTATTTTATAATCTAAATATACGAATATATTTTATTATTTTTCTAATTGCACGTTTTACCAAAAAATTCCAAATAATACTAAAATATTCTTATTAGATGTTTGGTAGGTCTCGGTTCGTTGGTGAGCAAAGAGTTACACTCAGTTATATAGTGAACCTAAACGCTGTCTGAGAGTTGTGATTTCTAAACGATCTACATTCTGGTGAATTTCTGAGTAATGCTTATTTTAGCGTTTGTGACAGATTTAGTTTATGGCCTTGACTTACTGATATGATTTAACATCGTCGGAGATTACGAGGTCAGCTTATTAGTAAATATTATTCAGGGTCCCTTCATTTATTGTTAGGTATTTATTGTTGACAGGATGGACTGTATATGAAGAAGTGAGAATAATAGCTTGTTTATTTAAAACATGACGTATTATATGCATTTATAATATACTAATCATGAATATCCCGCCGCAAGAGTCAGTCAATGAATATTACATATTATATTAAATTTGCTATGATAATATTTTATTGTTTATATGCTATTTTTTTTTTAAATTAAACCTTTCCCTTTCATAATATGTATCTACTTAGATACGGTCCTTATACTCATAGATGTCGCAAAGAAAATAAGTACTTACCCGAGTTGAGCGATCACTTCGTGAACTGTTAGCAATCGTTTCTCAACATCATAAAATTGTCCAAGACTCTATAGAGTATATAATTACAGGTTTAAAGCGTGAATAATAAATAATACAAGTAATACAATGATACCTAAATGTTTTCACTGAAATTAAATTAACACTTCCGCGTATACTGCGTGAACGTCTACCTACGTACGTCAAAATAAAGCGTACCTACTTAAACTGTCATTTGTTTTCTGTATAAATACTAATATATTTTTCGTACACAGTTCAATGTTTTTTTTATTTTTACTTTTTATCAAACATCTTATAAGCTAATGAAATAAAGGAATATTAGTGTTACATACTCAGTAATAATTTATCTTTGTAAAATTTAGAATAGACAAATTCTTAGATATATTCAGTATATATTTAAGAGATTAGATCACTTCGTTTTAGATCAATTTTTAATAGGAAATATATGCATATATAACTCACATATAACCTGTATGCAAATAAATTGTTTTTATTTTGCTAAGCATACATAATTTAATGTTTCAAATACGATATGTTTTTATAATTATTGACATATTATGTGTTGAGATTATCATATCTGTACATAATTTCCCATGGAATTTGATGTACAATGATTAGCATACCGTCACGTGCCGGGACTTGCATAATTTTTATATCTCTGTGTACGCGTTTACCTACACGATGAGTGACGATAGCAATAATAACTATACAGACCGAACGGCGACACTAATGCATGTGATGTATTATTGATTACCCTGTGATAGCGTAGGTGGAGACGTGATGAGCATACCGCCGATCAACCAAACTCGGATGGAACACGAGTCCGTCCATTTCAGTTGCGTGAAAGAAGACCCCGAGTCTACTGTCCAGTGGTACAAGGATGGCGTGCCGCTGGACGACTTGCCATCGCTGAACGGCAGATTCCACGTGACCCCGGAGGGATCGTTGGACGTTTACGACGCGGCGTTCAAGGACAACGGATTTTATTCATGCCGCATAGTTTCGGCCAAGGGTACCTTATCCGCAGGCGCTTTTCTCAACGTCCAGTGTAAGTCAAAATACATTAAGGCTAAAGAAATAGGCCGTCTATGTGAAAATACTCAAGGTCGGGAATATACGAGTTAAAAAGTTCAAATTAATTGACAAGTTATCAGACAAGATAATTGTTTTTAATGTAACTTCTAATATAACGAATTAAAATGTTTGCCATAATATGCAGCTATCATGATATGATATGATATGATATGATATTAAATCTGCGAAGTAATTATACAGTCACGTACAGTACTTTTTAAATCCCAGAGACTAAAAATCCAAATATAAAGCATTTTATATAAATTATTGTTTTTAATAGGGATCAAAATAATGTATATTAATATAGCTTTATATAAATATCATAATATATTAGTTAGTTAGAAAAAAATTAACTTATTTCCAAATAAGTTCATTCTATCTATTAGCTTTCAACTTGTATTATCAATAAGAAAAGAAGTAACATTATAACTAACTTTATAGTTTATTCTTAAGTTTGTCTAGACTAATATTTAACATATTGAGTCAAAAAAAAAAAAAAAAAACCTTGCAAATAGCTTTAAATACTTAATCATGATAAGCGGCTGTGCCAAAGACAAGGCTGCAAAACACGCATACCGTTTTCTGCTCACATTTATACTCTTATATTATTATTATTATTTATTTATTTAAAAAATACAAAATATTACATAGATAACATGTAACATAATATAGCGTACAATGTATAATGGTTATCACTGAGCAAGTTCGTGTAACTATATTGCTTACCAAACTAAAATCGTGCCCCGCCGACGAAAAATTAATCCTGAAAAGTCTTCCTTTAACCGAGTACATATTGTCTTGAGGACTTGAATCTTCGGAATATTGCAATATTGCTCATAGCACTTTCCAATAACTAACCTTATTTTTTAAATAATTAAAATCCCCTCGCCACTACCAATTAAGATTTTAGCATTAGCTCTGAATCACTATCAATCTTCATGTTCTATCGAGTTTCAGCCACGAACGCTAAAACGCGATGTTGTGAATAAGTGAATGAGTAAATAAGTGTAAACGATTAATTTATTTTTGATGTTTGGCTCTTATCCGTATGCATGACATAAAGCGTAATTTACGCTCGAATCACACGCGAACATGACCAATCTCATTTGCAGATAAAGCGAAGATCGTCTACTCGCCCGCCGAGGTATTCCTGGCTTTCGGCAAACCCGGTACGTTGGACTGTCATTTCCACGCTAACCCGCCGCTGACGAAGATTCGATGGGAAAAGGACGGGTTTCTGTTCGACACGTACAACGTACCCGAAGTGTACCACAAGTTGAACGGATCCCTATACTTTAACAGGGTGATTAAGAAGTTATTGTTTTTAAAATTCACGCGTTTAATATAATTATACTAATAACTTTTCAACCGATCCCTGTTGTATGCGCACACTAAATAATATATCACAAGAACATAAAATGTATACATGTCCAGGTGAGAAAAGAACACGGTGGCAAGTACACGTGCACTCCGTTCAACGATCTGGGAACCGAAGGGCCTTCGACGCCGATGGACGTGATCGTGCAACATCCTCCGAAATTAATAACTGTACCGAAAGTGGTATACTTCCGTAACCTTGGCGACAATGTCACGATGCCATGCGAAGCGGAGCGTTTTGATAACAAAGACCCGGCAATCGTTTGGCAAAAAGTTGGTTTATCCGTCATTTTAATATCTTATAATTAAAGAACATTAGAAAAAATCTAAGAAAAGATCTAAGAATTAAAACAATTTTCACACCCGGTAAAAAAAAAAAAAAAATAAAAACACATCTGGCGTCACTTCGAATTCATACCATTCTATTCGTTCATTACGTTCATCGTTTCCAATTTTAGTAGCAATTCTACATTGCAATATAAATACAATAATATTGATTGTTATTACTTTATCCAGAATTTATTGAAAGACGTTATCCATTATAGACTTTCCACGGGTTTTCCACACTATGCGTACTAATAGTATTATTCGTAAATGAGGGGGAAGGGAAATAACGAAAAGTGCACTCGCTAATTTATTCTTTGCAGTACGCATTGTTGTCTTACTTTAGGCAGATGGCGGTAGTTTGTTCAATCCTCGAGTGACGGTCACGGGCGGCAACCTCACATTGACTGACGTAAGAAGTGAAGACCGAGGTGTTTATAGGTGTGTGGCGTCCAATATCGCAGCCACCATTTCGGTCGAAACGGAACTGATTGTCGAGGAAAACTTGTTCCATCGAAAACATTTCGACGTACACGTGAACTCGACCGACAAGAACATCGTGGCTTATTGGAAACGACCGTATTCATTGTGCACCGTGTGGTAAGTAATAAGCTTAAAAGATATTATCATATTTAGCCCGTACAATTAAATTCGTTTTAGACTATAAGTACATATGTGTATTGTTTAAGTAATATATAGACAATGCCGTAAACAGACCACTTGACTACTTGCACATCAAAATTTTGAGCCCCCATTATAAATTATTCAATAGCAACTAAAAAAATTTAATTTTTAGAGAGGGAGTGATTTTTTATATTTTATTGGAAGAGTGGGGTAAACGTAAGAAAATTAAAAAAAAAATATATATAATTTTAATACGATTATGTTAACTCAACAGCTTCTATAATATTTATTTTCTTCAACTCTAACTAAAGGTCTCTAATATATATATATATTACCGAACACAGTGGCGAACCTAAAGGTAAATCTTATCGGATATCGGGATTTATAAGTCTATTGCAGGGTCGGCCAAACGGTGGATCGCGATCGACCGGTCGATCACGGACGATTTCTGAGTCAATCATGTTAGAATTTATTTTTAGGCCACACGCACAAAAATTAATCGTGGTGGTCATGAACAAATTGCTGATAAGTTTTACCTGTAAAGTTTTTATCATTTATTCTGGTTTATAAAAAAAATTTCCAAGAAAGTCGATCTTCTAAGGTGAAGTATATTTTCAGTAGATCGTGGCCGAAAAAAGTTTGGCCGCCTCTGGTCTATTGTGTATTAGTCATTCCCACAAATCGAAAACTTAGTAACATTATTATAAACCCTTGATTTAATAGAATAAGTATTTTGGTATAATGGTCGTATATTATATATGTTAAGGTGTATGACCGCATGACAGTGAATTATAAACGTCACTGGTGTATGTTGACATTCACCGATCATTTTGGTGAATGTTATCAATTATTTCAAATATTTCACAATGCGGTCATTTACCAATATTTGTTGACATGCTCAATAGTTATTTAGTGAATGTTGACAAGTCTGACAACATATATAATCAAATAGATATCAAATTCATAAATAATTATAGTTTAACAAATTAATTTTTTAATATATAGTTTTTATAGTAATTTTTTATATATAGTTTTATTTATTACAACAATGGAAAATATTATCGATTTTACAAAATAATACAAAAATACCTTTTAAATACATCATGCTTCAAATGTGGTCAACATTTACCAAACACTGATGGACATGTCAACAAATACCGGTGTATGAACACGTTAATACTCAGTATAATAATCGATGTCATTAAAGCCTAAAAGTAATAATAATAAAAAAAAAAATTATTAGCAAATTAGACTTTATGGAGTATTAGTTTCCTTAGCAAATATAATTCATAGTACTTTTTAATCATCTTTTTCAGTAGTTTATTTTAATTATATTTGGAATACTTAAAGGTGTAAAACAGTAAAACCTTCAGTAAAACAGGAATCAGTTATATTAATAAAATAGTTTTATATTATTATAGTTATATTAAATTTGACCAAAAATAAATATACTTATTAACCTTTTTAGTGAGTTTTTAACTACTTAACTGTACTGCAATAAAGTTTTTTTAGTATAAACAGTAAATATCTGTAGTAGATATCCTCGCCTTTCACTACGAAAAAGTTCTTATTGCTATACCGCGACATTTTAAAAATATTTATTATTTAACATTTATAATATTTATTTAACCGTCAGTGTTTTACACCACGTGCTTATTTCACCTGTCACCTAGAATATTTATGTAAGTATAAGTTTACAATTTTAATACCAATTTAAAAAATCAAAAAAATCAATGAGATGAAAAACACCTAATGTGAATATAGTTTTTTTTTCGAGCTAAAATAGTTCTTTTACACGTCCGTTACTATTACAGGAGCAGGGACATGAGTTCAGTAACTTCTAATTGGAATGCAACAACGACGTCCAGCGAAGGAAAAGCGATTTTGTGGAACCTTGACGCAGACGGAGAGTACGAGATAATGGTGTCGTGCCGGGACGAGACGAGCGGCGAGTCCTTGTTCAGCAGATCTATTCTAACGCGTCCCAAAGGTAAAAATGTCTCCCCGTATTGTATACTTAAATTGAGAAAACATAAATTTATAGACATTATATTCGATGTAACATGATTTAATTAATAGTAATAATATTATGCACCAGAAAATGTGTGCATATAATATTTTTGAATTTGCTATTACAATTTAAAGGCCATTAAACCCATAACGATACATTTTACTCGCTCAATTCGGAAATTTCGATTGAATTGAAAAAACAAAATTGAAAAATTAACCGTGCATGTATAAAATAAAAAATTTAATAGGTCAGCATACAACTGTTCGATTATTTTGAATTAATCGATTATTACGATTACTTTTTTCCCTGTCGATTATTTTAGTTTTTATAAAATTCGATTAATCGCCAAATAATAGAAATAATCGAATTTCTAATTAATCAATATATAAATAATATTAGATTACCTGATTACATACTTAAATTTTAAATCTGTGCTAAATGCTAATATGATGTTCTGAGTTCAATGATTCGGAATGTATTAAGAATAATAATACGTATAAAAGTGGACATCTACATCAACATTTCATCCTGTAAATCTTGTAGAAAATTGTGTAGAAGTTAAGGAATCAATTTATCCATTGTAAAAAAGTCGATAATCGGTTAATCAGTCATTAAAAAAAAATCAATTAATCGGTCAATCAGTCAATAAAAAAAATCGATTAATCGGTTATTCAGATATTAAAAAATTCGGTTATTGATTAATCAGTCGTTAAAAATTGATTTTCTATTAATCGAAATAATCGATTAAAACGTAAAATTAATAATCGAGTGGTATAAAAAATAATCGAATCAGCGTTTCTTAATATATTGTAGCACATGAACCCATGTAAAAATAATCATTGAAATCATGGTTCTTGAGTTTATTGGCAAAAAAATATTATTCATTTTACGTGATTAATATTTCATTAAGATTAAAATTGGCATATGAAGTACAACAGTACGATCAATTGGAATAGCACTTGGTTTTTAAAAGTACTTAACGTACGCCGTGTTGATGTGATTGCACGTCCTTTTTTTTATTATTATTACTTATTAGTGTTATTATTATCGTTATTTGTAATTAATAGTGTTATCGTTATTATTTTAGTAATATTCCGTTGGTTATTTATATTTTCGTTTGTTTGTCCCACGGTGGTCAAATATAGAATCCATTAGATCCAGCCAGGATTCACGCAAAGGTGGTATAGCGTCAGCGGACTATGGTCCTTTAGAAGTTCGAGTCCAAAGTTCCGGGACCGGTTACAACGTGTCGTGGACAATAGGAAATCACAGCAGCGAAAAGCGCGTCAAACGGTACGTGGTGAAATGGTACGACGCGGTCGACGGTAAAGAGCTCGGGTCAGCATCCACAGCAGCCAATGATCGTCACATAGGTGAGTCTTAGAGTGCCAATAATATAGTGGTATATTTTGGAAGGGGGTTTGGTAAAACCAAGCACTTGTCTAGCCTTAGAAAAAGAATATGAATATGTGATTTACAAAATATGTTTACCCGTATGTTTATAAATTCAGTAACCAATGTAGTGTGGCTTATCCAGCTGATAATCAGGAATTTAGGAAAATCTTCTAATTTAATATATAGTTTAAGTTATTAGTTATTATATTGTTATTATGTATGAGCACCAAAGAACTAACTAAAATTTAATAATCAGGGGGTAATGACTCTAGAATATTTTAAAACAAACCATAAAATATATGCGGAATACACGTGAATTACGGGGTATTTAATATAAAATAATTTATTTTATAAATAATTAAAATTTATGAAATTTAATGTGATTGGATCCGATACGTAGTTTAGATATTTTAATTTTTGAGAAATAACAAATCATACTAGAAATTTTGTATTTTAAACGTAATTTCTTTCAATATGGTCGATATCAGAGCTCTTAAGTTCATGCATTTGCATGTTTTTTATACTACATCGGACATGTTAAGCATATGTTAAGTGAAATACAAATCCGTTTCATAACAATGGTAATAAAAATGTAAAGTTTAATCAGTGGTTGAATTGGAAAAAAAAATAAAGGTGGACTCTAAATGTAGCTGAACAATTAGCGTTCTAAAGCAAATTAATCTAAAAAAAACCGTGAGGGACTTTGTCCCCCCCACCACCTAAATGCATCTACAATATAAATAATTAAATATATCTAATGATTAACACAGATATCTATAACAAATAATAAACAATACTAATAGGTATTTATTTGTATTAATTCTATCAACACAGCAACACGTCTAGCAAATTTAAAATCTAAAATGTAAATATATAGCCACATGATAAAATTAATTAATCAATTAACTTTCAATTTAAAATAATTCATGTATTTTACTGTTGCCTACAAAAAGTAAATATTAAATTTATAGATTATAAATGTTACTCTGTAATTAGTATATTAATTTTTTTTTGTCAATATTAATTTTAATATTTGAAGTTTAATATTAATCAAATAATTTATTTCATCCCGTCACATTATTTTTAGGACTAAGATTTGCTGAGAGTTAAATAATAATTATTTTTATCATAGTTATGTATATGTATTGCTTTAAAATGTATGACCAAAAAAATTTAAGGAACTTTTAACTGTATTTATTAACTTTTTTTTTAGGTAGGTACTAGGTACTTAAGTAAAAAGGGCTAATAACTTTTTTTGGAAAATCAAGTTTTTTTTATAAATTTTATCAAATTACAAAAAAATAAAAATTGCCGGGACTGACGTTCATTGATAATCAGATTGTACATCAGTTTTTCTAATAAATTTTATTTCTACTTACTTATGTTTTGTATATCTATTTTTTTTTTTAAGGTGGGATTTATGAGGGTGGATTATCAAAAAAAAATAAAAGTACACCGGTAACAGGAATCTGCGCACGCCTATGATTTATTATTAAATTAAAGTGTTTTAATTACCTTGGTTATTGTTTTTCTTTTTATTGAAAAAGTCCGATATGGACAATTTTTGACGTTTATTCATGTTTATTTGTTTATTGCTGACGTGTCATGTAGGACTGTAGGAGTGCGGTTGAGGTGTTTACTATTTTCAACAAAATTACAATTTATAAATTACATACGCGAGTACGCGACAAGCTAACATAATACTGATTACTCATTCGTGGCGCACCTCGTTTCCAAATAAAATATAAATAATATTTAATTTTCCTTGAAAACGATCACCATTTGTTAATCGTCGATAACTAAAACAACGGACGGATTCTCAAAATACGGAGTCAATATATTATTATTGTCAATGGTTTACTATAGATCGTTATCGTCGGTACACCCAGGGAAGTTTTCGTAATAGTTATATTTTTAGCAGTTTGTACCACGAATTAATACGCAGTGGAAACACTTGAAACGTGTTACATAAATTATATAACATTATTATATATTTTATTATTGCGTTCCTAATATACATATGTGCTAATAATAATGAACAGATTACGAACTAATACCAAAAATTAAATAAAATATTAATCGTTTCCAATTTTTTTTCATATTTATTTAATTTTTTCTTAGAAACAAATTCATATTCATATAATTGTTGAAGGACGCTGCGTCCCCTGCGTTCCTTGATGAATTAAATTAAGGGGTACGCTATAATATGAAGAAAAATGAAGAGTAGCCCAGACCCTCTGCGTCCCCCCCCCCAATTCAACCACTGAGTTTAATAGACTATATCTTGAGTTTATTGACAAAAACACAATTGTTCGGAATATCTTATTGGTAAGACCCATGACTCGGGTAGATTATCGACTTATCGATAACCGTGGGTCGATGATAACCTTATCGTGGGCATATCTGAATAAATTAAATCTAAATATTATTATATTTCTTAGTTATTGAGGAAAAACACTGATATGATTACTCGAATTGTGCAATGAATTGTACATTTTAGTGACACCCATTTAATTTACACCTGAGACTTCTAATAAAATTTGATTATTCCGACTTCATTACTTGACTGATATTTTCACAAAGTTAAATGAAGCAAATTTATCAATAAAACGTAAAATTACCACAGTTTTCACAGCAAATGACAAAATCCGAGCTTCTAAAAAAAATTTAATTTTAGACTGTGTATTTTTCTCAATATAAAATATTGATAGTTATTGCTGTCTCGAATAAAAATTCAGAGCTCCGTAATTGTTTTTTTAAGAACATAAGGGCTCCGCGAACAAAAGAGTTTGGGTACCACTGATGTAGAATATTTCAGAACATTCTTTGCCCGGTGCACCGACCACCTCACAAGCGGTCTCATTATCGTGTCTGATTAAAGGCTGCACGGAGTCGACCACACACGTTTCGACCGGGTGGGCTATGTTTTTATAGTGTGTGTTCAGAAATGTGCTGCGGCACGTACAAATGCCGTCTACCGCGGCGCAAAATGTCTGATAGACTACCCCCAAATATTTTCCTGGCTACGCCACTGAATATGATAAGAACATTTAAACGAGTAAAATGTCTACTTTTATTTTCACACAATCACTGCACTTTATATTAAACTCCTGAACAAAAGAGCGTCTTATCCAATTAGATTTAAGACTTTAGAAATCGAACATCTTCATAGGTAGTTTTTACATTACAGTTTGATAGTATAAGAAATGTCTAAGGACAGTGACGTTACTAGAGGATAAGTTGGTAAAGTGAAACTTTTAGGCCCCCTAATAATGCAGGTGGCTATTCGGCGTACAAACAATAAAAATTGGTTTTTTATCTTATATTTTATTATAAACATTTACATACGGCTTAAATGAGATATTTATGCTATATTTTTACTGTTTTGTTATTGTTAATATTCTATGGAGTATATATTATACTACGAGTTATTGATTTAACAATATTATAAAATCATTACCATGACCAGTAGCGGCTCGTAGTAAATATACAAATACGTAGATCTATTATTATTATCGGGATTAATAATATTCAAAAATAATCATGCAAGTACTTACAGAGTTTAGACGTCATTTAACTATAAAAGTATACAATAATTCTATGTAACAACAGATAAAAATGTAATACTGTAATAGGAATTGCAACAAAATTAGTTATTATTTACTGCATATTGATATTTGTGAGTTTTCAGTTCCATAATAACGAGGAATTCTAAAATTATGTCTATACCTAGCGAGACGTATTGAATGGTGGTTATTATTACCATTGGTGTGGGGATTTTACTTGCCATTTTTCAATGCAGTTAGTGTTGGACCATTGTCGTGTGTCGTGTCATATTATTACAATGCAAATCTGGGATTTACAATCGAACGAAAAACGGCAGTCACGATAAGCGACAAGTATCTTACAAGTTTTAATTTTTTTAACTTAAATAGACTTGCGCATGCGCAGTACAACTTTTTTTCTGAAATGGCAACCACCTATTTTAACTACTAATTATTTTTTGCCTATTTTTTCAATGAATTTTGGTACTTAAACCAACTTCCTAAGTCCAAAATTTACCTAGTTGCAGCAATTTAATCAAAAAATTGTAAAATGCATGCGATTTTAAATTTAAAATAATTAGTTTTTTTTTTTTTTTAAATCGAAAATAAATCGAAACCCAAATTTTATTTATTTTAGAATCGGCATCAAAACCAGAACCAATTTTTTTTTTTAGGATCCGTACAATTCATCAAGGTTTCGGTCCCTGATACTAAGTACTTTGAAAAGTATTTTCAAACTTGACGTAAAACTTACACAAGATTAGGTACGCATTTTTTTCACTATAAATTTAGTATGATTAATAATATTAGATAATCAAATACAATAGTTATAGCAAGTATAAATTCAAATTTTAAAGTAGAAATCAAATGAGGTATATTTTAGTGAACAACATATTTCTGTAAAAAAATTAATATTTATCAACCTATGGATGAACATTTTAAAGAAAGAATCAAGCAATTGGGTATCAATAAATTATTAATTGATAATTATTACCTACTTTAATACATGAATTGATTTTAGTTAAGACAAATGAGTAGGTTAATTTTGTATGGATATTTATAACATAATATAAAATAATAATTAATAACACTCAATGGCGTACATTCAATCTTTCTTTGGGAGGGGTTTAATAAAAATAATCGTTATTTTTTTTTTTGTTACACAAATAAATAAGATGAATAACTGCTATAAATAGATATTATTTTATACAATTTTTTTACCAATTTACAGTTTACTTTTACATTACAGTAAATTAATAACTATTGGAATATAAAAACAGCATAGTTAACAAAACTTTTCAAACTCCTATCAATATAATTATTTAATTATCATAATTAAAGCACGGATTTCTATGCAATCGCATATTTTTTTCCTTTCAACATTTTTGGTTTTTTGTCAGTTATCTCCACGAATCATAATTTGAAGCTAATGGTGAAATTTTTTTTTGCATATTTCTGCATATTTAGAGGTTATTGCATAGTTTTACATATTTTGGCAAAATTCAAAATTAATTGTATATTGAAGTGAAAATTTAAAAAAAAATTTATAAAATAGTATTTTGTCTAGTAGAAAAATAAAAATAAATTTCATAGTCATTAAATAATAATTTATATATATATTTTGTTATAAAATAAATAATCGATAACGACGTATAACTTAATCGCTCTTGCTGTGTCAGTCGATTATCGTATCGACATACCACTTGCTTCAAATATGCCCCAATAACTTCGGTTGACATCGAAGGTTCGTTTTCAGTCTTTAAAAATATGTTAACCGATAAACGACATAGCTTCACAGAAGATAAATTTGAAATGCATATGATTATTTATTTTAATAATAAATAAAAATTTTAAAAATAAATTAAGTTCAGAAAATTCCCTAAATTTTTTTGTATTAAGTATTTAAGTAATTAATTTTTATAAGTTGAATTATAAATTTTAAATAAATAAAAATTTCTTGCATATTTTTATAATTTTGACTGCATATTTTTTGCATATTTTCATGATTTTTATTGCATATTTCGATACTTTCAAGTGCATACAAATCTGCGCTCTAATCATAATATTTGTATGGTTGTATATTTTAAGTTCAAAGCATAATAATGAAACTACAAATATATTACACGTCATCAATAATAAAATAATTTTCTTCTTTTTTTTTTTTTGGCCCTGGGGGGGTTTGAACCCGGAATCCCTCCCCCTCCCGTATGTTCGCCACTGATAACACTTACCTATAACATTGGCAGATGTAGAAGAAGGCATTTGTACAAAAAAAAGCAATATTTTTACTGGCTATAAGTTTTTTGTTTCAAACAAGATATTTTATGTCTCGACAAATTTGTAATATTTAATGTTTCCTGTTTTATTTTACAAGAACTACAAATGTTATTTCAGTTTTAATTTTTATTATACAGATTACAAATCAATCGTCAAAGGTTATAAAATATACACTCATAACTCAATAAAATAAAAATTAATTATAATGATTTATTTTGAATTTTGATGGTCATGTTGTGAAGTATTAATTATAATTCCCAGTGATGGCCACTGATAATTATCATGTAAATGTAAGCTACTAATAGTTTAAATTTGTAGTATCCCTAAAATATTTATTCACAAGACGCCACTGGTTAATAGAAACCTGGATATAGTATCTAATATTTAAAGCTAATTTCTGCTGTATTGTATCTGTAGTTCGTAGTTTTTAAATATGGCACACGATATAAATATATTATTTTCTAATTATTCTAACATAATCCATATATAATAGCTGAAACTGTTAGCACCTACACACCTACCCCCCTTTAATCGATGGTATTACTAAAGCAACACCTTTGCTATGGTAGATGCGCCACTGATCGCAACTCAACAAACCATAGCCAATGAGCAGGAAAGTGGGTGTCACAGGGATAGTTACTATTTACAGTAAAAGTTAAACAGTTAAAAAGCTTAATTACTTAGGTTAAGCATTTTGTAGATAATTTTTTACAATATGCTCTAGAAATAATATAATTATAACTTATAAATTTATAATATTTAAAAAACGTTAATTTATAAGGATATTAATTTTATGAAATTATTAAAAATGCTATGGTTTTGATTACCTTATGGGAAGGATTGGAAGTGATGTATCTTAAATTTTTTTAAGACCATTTTCATCTTTTGTTAAAGTGCCCTAATTTATAATTTATTTTAGGGCCCCCAAATGTCTAATTGCGCCACTGTCTAGTGACCGATGGAAAAAGTCTGAGGTGAAAAAGCGCCTTAAGCAAATTTAACTATAAGTAAATAATATTTTGAAAATGTATAACTGTAAAATAACTATAAACATACTTATATTTTGTATTTTACTAACTACTAACAAAACATTGGTTAAATTATAAAATTGAATTTGATAAATAATTATATTAAAATCAATAAGTTGTAAAAAAAATTTTGAATGTATTATTTAAACTTAATAATATAAAAGTTTTTAAAAAGGTAATTATTAAATGTTTGAACAATGTAAACATTTGCTAATTCCCTTAGATTAAATAAAATATATTAATTTATTACAAAATACCATATTTATTTGTAAGGTTAAAACAACAAACTCTGTTCACATACTAATGTATTAATGTAATTTAATTTAATTGTAGATGATAAATGGTTGTTTTGAAACAACAAAACAAGATTTACAAGTCAACAAAATTTTAGGAATTTTTTAAAAATATAAAAATGATATAAATGTTAATGAGTTATTAATTAATTTAAACACTAACATTTAACTCAAATGTTGTGATTTCTTCAGGCTTTTGAATCCATGTACCAAATTTAGAAAATTTAAATGCTAATATTAATGACTGCTTGACAGCTAAATAATCTGTACTTTTATTTTTCAATGAATCATAATAAATCTTTTCATGGTCTTTGGTAAGAGTTGATAAATTATTTGTTGCATGACACAAATGTATATATTCCTTAGCCAATTGGCTTTTACATAGCCTGGACAATTTATTATCAACTGTCCTACCGGTGCTTCCAATCACAATTTCCATTCCTTCATTTATAATCCAATTTATGCAATATGGTGATTGCGCACCAAGTCTACGAGGAAGTATACTGTAGCCACGAAGTACAGGCTTATGAACTCTGAAAGTAAAAATATAGCTATAATAGATATCTAAAATAAATAAATTAACATTTACTTATATTCTCCAGGTAAATTTTGAATCATATTTTCTATACGTTCATACATAGTTCTCTTCATATGTTTCATATTAAATACACTACCAATTGATATTGAATTCAAATAAATAGGTTCAATAAAATTGGATAACAAATTGCCTTGAAGTCCGAGTACATTCCAACGAGTAAGTTTGTCTGAGCATGACATAGTAACTAGGCGTTCACCTTGAGCAACACCATCATATGTTTGTACTTCTCGACCAAAAACTGAAACAGTGCCTGCACCATTTTCAATTTTTGATCGGAGTAAACCACGATTTAAACGATTAGAATGATGTTCAGAGTCAGAAAAACTAAAGATTCTTGCTTCACCACATGGAGCGGTGTTTATATATAAATGAAATGAAACATTGTTTGATATTCTAAACCTATGACTTTTATCATCATAAATAAATATCGATGGATTATTTTTTACAGACTTTAAAAGTTCTTGGTAAAAATATTTTACCAAACATCTTCGGGTTAATATTTCAGCATGGCAGTCATGTAATGATTCCCCACAAAGGCTTAAATAGTTACCTGATAAACATTTAGTACCAGTTGCAAGACAAATAAGTTCTGCAGTATTCATATCATTTTTGGTTACCTATACAAAAAATAACATAAATAAAAGAAAAACTCATTAAAAATGGATAAATAGTTGATTTACTTTTATAATACTTGCAATGACAGAATATTCTTTATTTTTTATGTTATCAAAATCTAACTGTTGGTATACAACATCTGTTAAATAAGCAAAATGATCAATAATTTTAGCATCTCTATAATCTGTACGTAGTATTTCTATTTGATCTTTGAATTTATTATCTATAGGCTGCACTTCGTAAATGGTTTTTAATGCATTACGACAGGCAATTTCTTTTGCTTCTCTTTTATTTCTGCCATAACCTAAATATTTATTACCAAAAACCATAACACTCATACATTCCAATAAACCATGAGATGGTTCATGTTCATATACAAAGTTTTGTCCAGGAAATATTTCATGCAAGATAGATATAGCAGATGTTTGATGCACTGCATCTATTGTTAGTTTTTTTAATGGTGGCGAACATAAGGCGGATTCCATACAATCATTTTCAACACTCCTTTTTATACCTCTATTAGTATCACCCACTGTTGAATGTTTGATATTACTATTTATATTTGCTGTGAAAGGTTTGACATGGCCATTTGCACTTGCTACGACAGGCCTAACATCACCAGTAAAATTGGATTTAAACTTCTGTATCGCATTAATTTTAGCTCTTTTTTTTGAGGACCCACAGCCCTCAAATTTAGTATCATTTAAGAATAAATACACTCTGAAAGTAGGCATATGAGAAGGTCCATCATATATAAAATCAGACCAAGTATGTGGTAGATGTTTTTCATTGAAATCTCTTAATGTAATGTTAACATCCATATTATTTGACAAATTCTTTTTGAATAATAAAAATAAAATATTTTAACCAGGCTGTCAATTATAACAAACAATTTGGAAGTCTAAAAAAAAATTATAAAAAAAATGTTTATTTTAAATCAATATTTTTTGAAAAATTATTAAAAATAACAATATTTATATAAATGCAAAGATTCTTAATAACTTTTATAGTTAAGATTAGTATAGATGATTTTTTATATAAGAAAACAAAAATAGATATTTTTTATCTAAAAAATGTAATAGGTACCTACAGGTTTTTCAATAAAAACTTTTAGTTGTAAATCAGAATGCTCAGATTCCAGATGTATAAAAATGTAAAAAGGTACATAAGAAACAATGTATTGGAATTGAAAATGAAATCATTGGCTGTTGATTTCTAGTCTAATTATTTAAAATTAGTGAATTATATACATTATAATTGGTACTTGTAATACCAAGTGTGCACATTTTATGACTAATTAAAAAAATTTGACAGCTACTTACACAATCCGTTGCTTTTGACTGTCCATATAATTAACCGCGGTACTAACATAGCCGTGCATAGATATGTATAGTTACATATTTAAATTATTATCAATTTTTTGAAACAAATTCAATATATAATAAATATAAACAGCGAAGTAAACATGAAATAGGTGAGTTAAAAAAATTTGAGAGTATTAAAACAAAGTTAAATTGTTTTATTAACAATATTGTGATTCAATAAATCAGTTAAACAAATTATATCAAAACGAATCCGAAATTTCAAATCGGAAGTTTACGAACGACTGACGGGTTTACGAAAATATATGGTTTTCCATGATAATGATTATAGAATCAAGTACAATCGTAGTCAATCGTAGTGTTGATAATGGAAGTTGGCTAACACCACAATCACGGTTTGAGATATTTAGTATATGTATTTAACCGATTTATTATATCTTTAATCGTGGCTATCACTTATTTATTATTTATTTCAATGAATAAATAATATTTATACTATATTTTTATAGTTAAGTTCTGTGCTATCAACAGCCAGCACCCAGTAATATCACAGAATATGGTAATATCGAATATGCTCGGTTACGATTGTTGGTACACATTTTAACCACTAGATTAGAATGCTGATAGTAGTATATTTGCAATGATATTTTCTATTATATTTCTATTAATACAATTTAGATGTATAGTAGGCGGTAACTGGCACAAAATTCTGGACCGGCAATTGGTTTAAAATGGCCCCGGTTTAGTTAAGAGACTCGAATTAATCTTTCCTTTCATCTCTATTTTTTTTCAATCTTTCACCGAAAAAAAATAAACATATATATACAAAACCAATTGACTACATCAGAAGTCAGGTACCCGCGAAGGAATTTTTTACGGTCTGCACAAAGATGGTTAATTGTCGTGTTTTATTTTTATTCAATAATGTTTTTCGTATGATTTAATTCTTTTGGCTTTATAAATAAAATCTAATCTAATCGTTAATACTGTGGTGGGCCACCACCATAGTGCTGTCTCACCGAAGTGACGCGGTTGGCAATTATGGCCCGCGCCGTGCTTCCATCGGTGTTAGTGGGTCGCGGCCCAATCCCTAAATAACGTACGGTCCGGGTTCATGAGAGGTACGTAAGAATCGCGGCCATACAATAACGTATATATATAGTATTTAAACATCGCAGTATTCATGTACTAATAATACGTATTTTCTAGTATTATCGTTTAGTTATCGTTTGTCATTTCAAGAATATTACATAATACGATAATAATATTTTTTTGCGTTTCTAGAAACCGGTACATAGCCAATAGGTACGTAGGAAACGATAATTACTCGGGCCGCAACTCGCCTACAGCTAAAATAATATTGTCGGGCCCCAAGTAACCTACGACTGAAATATTATCGGGCCGGAATTTACCGGTCTCCAGACACCGGAAACGACACGTCGGACACGGCAACTGACCCCATAGCCGCTTCCATCGCGTTACTTCAGGCGTCGTGACGACTAGCACGCGCTCACCCTCGTTCACTTAACCCCGTCGTTCGCGCCGAACGCAAGCATTGTCGCCCGTAATCCTCGCGTCTCGTACGTTTCGCGTTTATTACACGGTTAAAGGTAACGCGGTCGAAATGGCACGCTGGGTTGCCCATGCCCGACGTAGGTACTCACGCGCACCAGACACGGAGTGTTGGACAGCGGTCGACTTGAATTTCGTATTTATCGTTTGTGCACGTTTTCCAGTCATCGAGCTGGCCGGCGGCAAGACCTACGGGATCCGAGTGACAGCCACTACGGCGGACGGCCGACACACGCCCGTCGGCAGCAGTTCGTTCCAAACACCGGCGGCCGCGGTGGCCGCCTCCGCACCGTCGACGGCGTTCACCAAGTATTACTACATGGCACTGTTCGGCTTGATGGTCGCGGGCTTCGTTATGCTGTGTTGCAGTTGCCGCGGCGACGGCAGATGAAGAGGCATCGCGCCGGACACGACCTCGGTACGCAACATGTCGATGTACCGGTACCGCGGGTATTGTAAATATAAAATGTTATCTCTCTGGTTCTCGCAACGTATACAGCCGTTTATATAGCATCATCGGGCTGGTCGTTGCGGTACCGTACGGTAAATTCGTCTACGCTCCAATCGATGTGATCATGCTTTAAGGCGGCGTTTCCCGGCATTGGGTCGATACAAATTTTTTACGGTTTCGTAAGCTAATGTCAAGAAAATATCTTAGTTATCAAACCTTTATTTACTTTCTCTAGAATTCAGTCATGCCGTGTTGGGTTGAGGTAGGTATATGATAACATTTCTTGTAATAAAATGATTATTAATGCTATTGGGTTACAGCGTACTGGATTTTTTTTTTCTTAACAACACTGAAAAAATTTATAGGCCGCCTTAACATAAAGGTTGGGAAACACTGCCTTGAGGTACACCAATGCGCAGTCCGTTCCTTCGTCACATTTTACATCACCCATGTCACAACCAATATTACTTAAGTTATATACGTCAAACGCCGACTAAGATCCACTCTTCTCTATTTAACTCGTGTTGTAGTCAATATTGTAATCGTGTGTTTATCAATTTATTTTTATCTCTTTGGTTTTGTCAATATCACTTGTCATCTTATTTCATATATTTTGCTAAAGATTCGTTCGATTATAAAAATAAAATAAAAAACATATCCGTTATAACCGTGCAACATTAATGGATTATTATTCTCCTGTTGTATTCACTCGATTCCCGACCGACTTTTATATGATAGATAGGTACCGATAAATGGACCAGTGTTAAGCGAATACAGTCCGCGACACTTTTGAACATACTCCGGTTACAATTTATTTGCAAAATATTTATGCTGTTGTATTGTTATAACTTTTTATCGTTCGATCGGTTGTCTCGAAGACGAATAACGAATCGCCAGATCTTAATATATGTATTTATCAAATGTCTACACAGTTTATGCCAAAGATTTAAAATAAAAATTGAATGTTCTATATACGTTTGTTATATTGCACCTATAATGTCAGAAATACAAGTATAATCAATGGATGGAATATTCTCTCAATGTTGTGTGCGTAAGCATTTTTATAATTTGTTTATGGTGCTCCTTATTTGCCATTAAAATTGTTAAACAATTCTTAGTCGTTCAAATGTTCCATTGAATGTCGTTTTCAAGTTGTCTTCGAAATTTATTTTGTTTAAATCGTATAAATTAAATTAACATCATTGAATACTTGTAAACATTTTGCTATGTTTTTCTATATATAAATAATTCTATTTGGCTTATTGAACCAAATATTAATATCAACAATTAAAATTAAAAGTTCTTATTACCAAAATTACAGAAAAATATAGTTATAGTTCACATAAAATACAAATTAAATTACAAATATTTAAAAAAAATTGATCTTATGCAGTGGTAATCAAATTATTTTGTCATCCCACATCAATAAATCACTCCCTCCGGAAGTGGTCTATTAAAAATTTTTTTTTAAATCATGCACTTTAATCACTAAAAATAATATATTATGATAATATATTCGTTTAAAAACAAACTTTGAATACTGAAATCTTTTTTTATCAGTTTGTGCAACATTTTTTTGACGATCTTATGTATAATCTCATGATGAACAGTTGTAATAGTCAAGCTATAGCTGTCATACATGAGATATTGAGACCATTGTATTATATTATATTGTTGCGCGTCGGTCGGTCTCAGGGGCGTCATTTCAACATCATTTGAAATGGTGGAGCAACTGATTAAATTTGCCGACTTCATAATATTTAAAAAATTATGGTTACCTATATATATAGGTAAATAATATATTTTAATATTTATGGCAGGGACTGTAACCGGACCGACAATTACCGGTTATAGAACCGGGAACCTTGTGTTAATTGTGAACCGGAATCTCAACTGAAACCATTTTTTTTCAAATGTTAAAAAAACCTAACTAAAACCGGAACCTAATTTTTAAAGTTTGATTTCTTTCGGTTTATTTGGGTTATAATTTTTTATTTGTAAGTAAATTTACCAAAGAAATTATACTATTTGACGTTTACAGTATTATTTATTATTTAATTTATATTTTCCAAGAATATTTTATAGTATGCATAATGGAAAATATTATAATTATATTAATTTCCTGCAATCCAGTCTAAGCGGACTATTTTTCAAAGAATTAAAAGAAGTGAAGTACTTATATAATTAATAATATATTAATAATTGATTATTGTTTATAAACTGTAATATAGATGGGCATTACCGAGTACTATTCAAAAATATTCTAATGAAATTGTTGACTAAAGAGAATGTCGAAACTCGAAAATGTATTAAAAATAGATGGTTTAATTTTCTCCGTCATAGTTATAATGAAAACAAGTTAATTAATAGCAAAGTATTAATAAATAGTGTGAAGTGTCTAAAGACCTGCAAGGGCCAGGCTGGCCCAACCCGGTCCTCAAAAAGCCCGGCCCGTACTGAGACGGGCGGAACCGTTTTCGGCCAAAATGAACCTTTCCCTTTTCGGCCAATTCACTTTTCGGCCATTCTGGAATGTCCGTTTTCGGCCAGTACACTATTTTGGCCACCAATTAAAAATATTTTACACGGTTTTTTCTGTAATACTATACCAATTATTTTTTGTATAATAATCTTATAATATTATTTAGTAAAATACGTTAGTCAAATAATAAATAAAAAATATAAAGTCATAATTTTCATAATTTATAATTTATTTTAAAATCTCATATTATGTCAATTAACCCTTTGACGCCCACTATATGAATACCTTTTAGAAATTTTTTTTTGTTTGAAACTAGATTAAATAAGCATCAAATAAGAAAAATTTTGATTTTTTTAATTTTCACAACTTTTGAAGTTTTTGAAGTTATGATTCTGTATGGAGTCATTGGGTCGATACGGTTGTAATTTGATCCATTTTATAATATATACCTAGATACCTTTTTGTATTTTCAATTTTAAAACTACATATATACATATTTTCTTATAATAATCATTTTTGTGAAAAAGTTGAAAATAAATAATTTTTATCAAATATCAGTCAGTTTTATTTAACACATATTATTTTTAATTGAGTACTACATATGAAAATATTTTAACAATTAACACTGATATAAACTTACTTTTAGGAACTTAATTATTTTTAATAGAATTCATTCTACATAATAAATTATTGTACATAGATATTATAGGTAAGCATTTATAAAAATTTTAATATATATATATATATATATATATATAGGTTTTTTTAATAGTAAATAAATTAATAACTTGTTAACTTTGGTAAAATGTTTAAAAATTAAAATCTCGTATTATGTAAAGTAAAATAATATCTAAAAATTAAAATTATGAGTTTTGCTTATGATCAATTGATAAAAGAAAATCCCTAATAGAAGTTTAATATATAGAACGAAGATAATGATGAAAGATATTCTATAGGTATAGATAGTTGTTAGTTATTATTTTTATCCACCATCAACGTATAGATGTTGAATTCCCTATAATATAATCAGTAATCCCTAATAAGTCTTAATATAGAAGATATGTGTGCATGTGCTACAGTTATTAAAAAAATTAAATTTTCCTAGTTTTATTTTTTTTTGTGTAAATTTATAATATAATGTAACTTAATATTTTTTATTAAGATATGATTTACTATACAAAAAAGTAATTGGTATAGTATTACAGAAAAAACGGTGTAGAAAATTTTTAATTGGTGGCCAAAATAATGTACTGGCCAAAAAGTGAATTGGCCGAAAAGGGAAAGGTTCATTTTGACTGAAAAGTGTCCCGCCCACTGAGACTGGACCGGACCGGGCCTTAAAAAAATAATAAGGGCTAGATCGGACTTTCGTTTTCGTAAAAATGTTCAAGCCAGGCCGGGCTGGGCTTTTTTGGTAGAACTTTTCGGGCCGGGTCGGACTTAAGGATTTTTACATCTGGCTACACTTAGATATTTTATGGTTTTTTTTTTTTGTATGACAAATAATTGTTATTTAAAATAAAAAATGATAAATTCTCATTACGACGTAGGATAACTACAAATATTATGTAATTTGTGGAACGTGGTTACTGAGTAATGGGTATAATAAAGTTATTTATGTATAATTAATAAATATGTCATTAATAAGTGACAATACTATCAAAATATATGGCATATTATTAGCGGGGTAGAGGTACTTGTCTATTAGCGAGATTATTTCTATAGTATCATAGTACCAAGTATCAATATAAAATAGAAACGGTAATTTGAAGTATTTAAAGAAAATCCATTGTGTTTAACTATGGAGATTGTTAACACTAATTTAGGATATTATACTATACCCGGTTTCAGCTACCTAGTTTTAATGTTCTAAGTTAGTGTACCACTGAACATATTTTGCATACCTACATTTGTTTGTTTGAATCATTATTATAAGGTAAGTTTTTTAATGTTACCTACGTATTTAATATATATTTGTATTTTTTTTCATTTCACTATTTTATCAGTGTTTATTATGTAAAAAGTAATAACATTAAAGAAAAAACTGTTGAGGCACCTAACCTATTACTTTTTAAAATATACAATATATATGCAGATTTATTTTACCTTTCTAAAAATACAATAATAATCAATTTATTGTTTTAATTATTTGTTAAAAGAATCACTTAGGTAGTGTAATGTACGTGGTTGCATTGTACACTGTGCATTTTAGTATATATGATACGTAATACATGTGCAAGTACAATTTTTGAAAGTAAAGTTAAAAAAGTCTTATTAAATTAATTCGTTTTATTTATTTTGTATCAGCTCATTCATTAATGAAGTGATTGGCATATGTTCGGTGCCAGGTAGCGCAGACATTACAGGTAGTAGGTTTCACAACAATTTGTTTTTAAGATTATAATGAATGGGTAATTAAATAATATTGATGAATAATAAACAGTGACTGATTTTAAATATTATTTTTTTATTTGATAATCTATATTATAATTTTTAGAAATATTATACTGTTATATTATATATATATTACTCATTTTAAAATATAGGTACCTACTTGACACTTTATACTTAATATCTATTTAATATTTTATTGCACAGCGCCCAGTGTCTACATACGTTTTTAAATCCAAAGTTTATAAGATTCGCATAATAACGATTGTTATAAACCGAGGAGGAGCCAACAACTGTTTTCCAACTTTTAATAAACCGTGAACGTGTATTTAAAAGAGAATATTATCTGATTTCTGAGTACAAGATAGTAAATAAAAATTTACTATTTACCGATTTTAGCATTTGATCATCATACAAAGAATTATCGACTTTTTAAAATTTCTTTAAGAGGGGCATTTTCCATAGTCTGCCCGCTCCCAAATAACGCCTCTGGTCGGTCTGTACCGACAAGTGCAATGAGATTAGAGCACAATCAATAATTCTTATACATTTCAATAACATTTATAATTTCTATCATTTTCAATAATTCTCATATATTTCTATAACTTATAAATTCAATAATTCTAAATAATTATCATATACTTTAACTATACACTTCACTTTACTTCTAAATTTTATAATGGATTAGCTACTTCCAAGGGATAGGGTTTTATTTTTGTGTCACGGTCTAATCCTCAATATTGTATCTTTAACTTCAATAATTCTCTTTTAATTCTCAATTTAATTCTCGATTA